CCTGCAATGATTAGTAAAGTTGGTTTAATAAGTCACTGTCAGTATCGTAATATTCTTTTACTAGGTTGGAGTTTAACTGTTCGAGTTCTTTACGAGATACCTTCCCTGTTTAAGTCTGCTAGTTCTGAAAAGTGAAACTGGAAAGGAAAAAAATATTTATCAGGCATTAGGTAAGGTTAACCTCTGTATGTAGCCCAGAGAAACAATGGGCCATACACATTTGTGATTTTTAAATTTGATATAAGTGGAAAATTACAGGTTTTTTAACATAGGACGTCACTGTCGGTAAATGAACAAAAAATGGGATTGCTGCCCCTCTAAATACTGTGGGAGTGCACATCCTTACATCTTCGTGAAGCTCATGTTCCCATGTGTGAAATGCGTTGACATAAGCACCGAGGAGCAGGGCCCTCCTATCCCTCTTGTATTGAAGTGTATTGTTGCTGTATTGTCTCCCATTATATTGTAAAGCGCTGAGCAAACTATTTGCGCTATATATATCCTGTATAATAATAATAATAAGCAGCGTCAATGAGCGCATGCCCCAAGTGTAGCAGTGGCTTGCAGCTTTCCGCCGCTGCACCTGATGCAAAACTTAGGAACCGCGATGACAGAATGAAGTTAGCGCTATAGAAAGCATGCTAATCAGCACTTTGTCCTGAAACAGAATAGACAAGAGATGAGCCAGGACACACTAGCATTGGATTGGCGAGAGCCTCCCAGCAGTGAAATTGTGCAAGTGTAAGTGAAAGTGGACCCCTCTGTCCTAGGTCATGGGACTGAACGGGTTGAAATGCTCCATGCTGTTCTAAAACTGCTTTACTGTCTACTGTGCTTGCCTGCTGTTAAACAAATGGTAATGCTTTGAAAGTGTAAGGACTGCATCTGCTATACATGGTAGACTTTACTGATGTTTATTATACAGTGGTGAAAATAATTATTTGATCCCCTGCAGATTTTGTAAGTTTGCCCACTTACAAAGAAATGAAGGGTCTATAATTTGTATCATAGGTGTTTTTTTAAATAAGAGACAGAACATTAACCAAAAATCCAGAAAAAAAAACACGATACTAATGTTATAAATTGAGTTGCAGTTCAGTGAGTAAAATAAGTATTTGATCCCCTAACAACCAACAATAATTCTGGCTCCCACAGACTGGCTATGTGCTCATGTGGTAAACAAATTAGGCCTGTCCTAACGACAACTCCTTATGTGTATAAAAGACACCTGTCCACAGAATCTCTTTCTTCCATTCAAACATCACCACCATGGGCAAGACCAAAGAGCTGTCAAAGGATGTCAGGGACAAGAATGTAGATCTGCACAAGGCTTGAATGGGCTACAAGACAATCAGTAAGAAGTTTGGTGAGGAGACAACTGTTGGAGCGATTATTCTCAAATGGAAGAAATACAAAATAACCATTAATTGCCCTTGATCTGGAGCTCCAAATTTTGACTCATGGGGTAAGGATGATCATGAGAAAAATGAGGGATCAGCCCAAAACTACACGGAAGGAGCTTCTGAATGATCTCAAGGCAGTTGGGAACACAGTCACTAAATAAACCATTGGTAACACAATACGCCACCATGCAGCGCCCACAAGGTCCCCTCCTAAAGAAGGCACATGTGCAGGCCTGTCTGATGTTTGCCAATGAACATCTAAATGAATCAGAGAAGGAAGTGCTGTGGCCAGATGAGACCAAAATTGAGCTCTTTGGCATTAACTTGACTCGTGTTTGGAGGAAGAAAAATGCTGACTATGACGCTAAGAACACCATCCCTACAGTCAAGCAGGGAGGTGAAAACATTATGCTTTGGGGCCATTTCTCTGCTAAAGGTAGAGACCAACTTTGCTACATTGAGAGGCCAATGGACAGGGCCATGTAGTGTAAAATCCTTGATGAGAACCTTCTTCCCTCAGTCAGAACACTGAAGATGGGTCGTGGATGGGTCTTCCAGTATGACAATGATCCAAAACATACCGCCAAGGCAACAAAGGAGTGGCTCAAGAAGTACATTAAGGTCATGGAGTGTCCTAACCAGTCTCCAGACCTTAATCCTATAGAAAATTTATGGAGGGAGCTGAAACTTCCAGTTGCCAAGTGACAGCTAAGAAAACTTAAGGATTTAGAGAAGATCTGTAAAGAAGAGTGGACCAAAATCCCTCCTGAGATGTGTGAAAACCTGGTAACCATCTACAAGAAATGTCTTACCTCTGTGCTTGGGTTTCTCCACCAAGTACTAAGTCATGTTTTGCTTGGGTATCAAATACTTATTTTACACACTGAATGGCAACTCAATTTATAACATTTGTATCATGTGCTGTTCCGAATTTTTGGTTGATAGTCGTTTAAACTACAACTATGATAAAAATTATAGACCCTTCATTTCTTTGTAAGTGGGAAAAAGCTGCAGGGGATAAAATAATTTTCCGCACTATATAGACAGCAGTGTGCTACCAACACTTTCAAGTATTGAATAAAGTTATGGTCTGAAAAACTGGCTTAAGTATTCTAAGCTGGCAGCTTTTCCTTATAGGCTACTATCTACTTGCTGATATATGCTTAATATTAACTCCAGAGAAACTGATACCCTGTCATGACTTACTCTGCAAGTTGTGGAACCTATTATTAGGAAGCCTGGTACCAGGCACTAAAATTGTGACTGGTCGGTCCCTGTGGAGTGATTGCTGTACGATTTCTGGCTTATGCTAATCTATATTGCAGAGTGATGATATGTCAGTATGGTTGGGTGTAACTTCCAAGGACCCCACCTGGTTGAGTAGGGCAAGTCGGGGCCCTGGTGTTGAGATCTTCAAAAAATTCAAGAACCCTTAAATGGGTTTAACACCCTTGTTTTATTTTGGTAGTTTTTGGTCAGAACAAACCCAAGCCTATTCCTGGGCCAGGGGCAATTAGGGATCCAAAAGGGGTATGGGCTGCAGGGAGTCTGCCACTTTAGCCTGGTGTCCAGGTCTGCAGTATCCTTTAGTGAACTGTATACAAGCTATTGCCTAACATCCCATTATAAATGGTCCATGTGCATCTACAATATCATGACAACACAGCTTAAACAGAACAAAACACTGAAATATTCCACTGCATCATGGAAGTGGGCCATACCACACCCACTCCCCCATGGCATACTAAAGAAGAACAGCCATGACCATAAACTAATATTTTCATTCTTCCACGTACATCTGTAGTAAAGGTAAGGGATTGAATTAAAAGCAGTTATTTTAATATAGAAGTGCCTTGGTTCTAACATTTTTCCACAATGCGTTCTTTCAAATTCGCACATGTACTGGGTGCTGCAGTAGAAATTATTAGCACAGTATTCCATATGGAAGCATTGTGCACAAGCTTGGAAAGAATATTACACATGGAATAAGCCAGAACCTAACCCTGGGGGTGTGTGTGATGAGGACATCTTCAAAACATTTACAGGTGTACCTCGGTTTACGAACGCCTGTTTACGTAATTTTCGGTTTACAAATGAAAATCCATTTAAAATAATGTCTCGGTTTACAAATTTTTTTCGCAATACGAAGTGTATGTTTCTTTTAGCTGGGGGGAAAGTGACAGCTGATTCTCTGAGCTATAGTGAAGGGGAAAAAAAGCCGGTAATTACATTTAAACCCAGGCATTGACCTATAGTGACAGCGACTTTTTTCTTTATTTTTTTCTGACCTTCGGACCGGATTACTTGGTTTTCAATGCATTCCTATGGGAAACCACGTTTCAGTTTAGGAATTTTTCGCAATACCTAACGTCCCGGAGAACGCATTACATTTGTAAACTGAGGTACACCTGTATACTGTAAACAGTAACTCCACTTTTGTTGAGAAAAAAAATCCCATCTGGGTGATCCATGTACATTGCAAGGATTTTAACAAGCTTTGCTGACGATTACTACCTTTTGTTGTTCTGAAGAAACAGCTGATTGTCTGTGTCCTTGTGCAAGCTGAATGTGAATAGGCGTGATTTTATAGTTATCATTCAGCTACTGCATCTGCAGGGCTCTAATGAGAAAAGTGGCAGGTTCTGCATCCCTCTAGATGCCATTTCCCTTTGGAAGTATCTCACCAAAAATTTAATTTTCGTTGCAGGGAATGCACAAAATCTGACTTGTATCTTCGTGCAGACTTCTGGGAAAATCCGTAAGCCAATCACATAAGCAGGAATTGACATTTCTGGAGGCATTCCATAGACCATGTGTACAGAATGCCTCCAGGTTGCAATACTGCATTTTAAAGAAAATTACAGCACTGCAGAATGAAAAGGAAAGGTAATTTTTAATAACATTCAATTACAATATGACTTGTGTTGCAATTGTATATGCTTTACCTCTTTTTTAATTTTCTATTTTTTTCCCATGAAAGTGGAGTTACCCTTTAATAAATTATTTGAAAGAAAACTGTGTCATTAAAAAATTAAAATATGTAACATATAACATTACATTTTTAAAGTGGATTATTTATCAGCAGCAAGTGATAACTTGTTTTTTAAACTACCAAGAAATCCAAAAAGGTTCTTCTTTGCAACTACAGTAATACGATTTGCACACAACATCCAAGGATTCCCACATTCTACGTATGTGCATGGATTATTGCTGTAATTAGAAGGAAATCTAAAGTCATCACCAGCAATAAGAAGTACGTCTTTGGTGAGATACTTTCCTACTGGTATAAAATATTGAGTGCAAAAAAAGGATTACATATTTTAAAGAACATCAATTCCATAAACCTGTAAACAATGCTGATTTAACAATTATAAAAAAAACCAACATTATTGTATGTAACAGTAAGAATTAAAAAACAAAACATCAACCCTTGTGAAATTACTGTCCATACAAAAGAGAAAGCTCATATAAATAAAACACACACACACACACACACTTGCCAAAAGTATTGGGACACCCCTCCAATCATTGGATTCAGGTGTTCCAATTACCCAATTACCTCCATGGCCACAGGTGTATAAAATCAAGCACCTAGGCATGCAGACTGCTTCTACAAACATTTGTGAAAGAATGGGTCACTCTCGGGAGCTCAGTGAATTCCAGTATGGTACCATGATAAGTTGCTACCTGTGCAATAAGTCCATCCATGAAATTTCCTTTCTACTAAATATTCCACGGTCAACTGTTAGTGGTATTATAACAAAGTGGAAGCAACTGGGAACAGCAGCAACTCAGCCACGAAGTGGTAGGCCACGTAAAATGACAGCGGGGTCAGCGCATGCTGACACAGTGCGTAGAAGTTGACAATTGTCTGCAGAATCAATAGTTGAAGACCTCCAAACCTTGTGTGTGGCCTTCAGATTAGCACAACAACAGTGCACAGAGAGCTTCATGGAATGGGTTTCCATGGCCGAGCAGCTGCATCCAAGCCATATATCATCAAGTGCAATGCAAAGCGTCGGATGCAGTGGTGTAAAGAAAGCCGCCGACACTGAACTCTAGAGCAGTGGAGATGTGTTCTCTGGAGTGATGAATCATGGTTCTCTGTATGGCAATCCGATGGACGTGTCTGGGTTTGGCGGTTGCCAGGAGAACAGTACTTGCCTGACTGCATTGTGCCAAGTGTAAAGTTTGGTGGGGGGGGGGGGGGGGATTATGGTGCGGGGATGTTTTCAGGGGTTGGGCTTGGCCCCTTAGCTCCAGTGAAGGGAACTCTTAAGGCGTCAGCACACCAAGCAAAAAGCGAGGTCCATAAACACATGGATGAGCGAGTTTGGGGTGGAGGAACTTGACTGGCCTGCAGAGTCCTGCCCTCAACTCAATAGAACACCTTTGGGATGAATTCGAGCGGAGACTGAGAGCCAGGGCTTCTCGTTCGACATCAGTGCCTGACCTCAAAAATGCTCTTCTGGAAGAATGGTCAAACATTTCCATAGACACACTCCTTAAACATCATCGGCAGCCTTACCAGAAGAGTTGAAGCTGTTATACAGTAGCTGCAAAGGGTGGGCCAACTCAATATTGAACCCTTTATTGAAGACTGGGATGCCATTAAAAGGTCAAGTGTGGGTAAAGGCAGGCGTCCCAATACTTTTGGCAACACACACACACACACACGCTAAAAACACAAAAGCTGATATTTTCTTTATATTATATGTGCATTATTTACAGGTTGATGTATTTGATAATTGATACATTTAAACATTTTTGGTGAAAAACAACAAAGATCCTGCACTTATGCTACTACTGTGGTGTTTCTACTCCTTGGAGGCTGCTAGCACTTTGAACAATAAACCCCCTTATCTAAATGGATGACAGTTATATAGTGATAAATACAATAAAATGCTGCGCTCTCATTTATATACATAAATACCCATGCTCAGTAAAATGTGAAAAAAACATGTGTGATAAATGATCAACTCCTTTAATGTGAGACGTATCCAGTGAAAAACCATAAAGTAAAACCAAAGTCCATCCAACGTGTCATTTGTACTTGAATAAATGTCTTTGTAAAATCAAGTGCTTCTTCATTCAAATCTCAATACATGCACCAAAAAACTGCGTGAAGTGGACTAAAAAAACCCTCCCTCCCAAAACACAAATCCTATGTTCTTAATGCTCATGGCACAGGAGCACGGGATTGGGAAGGTGTTTTGTAGACCACAAGGATGGTTTGCTGGAGCATATATTGAGATTTGGATGAAGAAGCAATAGATTTTTTTTTTTAGAAACATTTATTTGTGGTTATATAATTTATAATTTGCACACCAGATGCAGTCCAGTGTGTTTTTTTTCATCAAAAACGCACGCATGGACTTTAGATTATATGGGTTCCAATAGCACCATTCACACCAGTGCGTTCCAGTGCAGAAAAACAAAACAAAAAAAACAAAACAAAAAAAAAAAAAAAACATGAAGCATTTTTTCTGCACAGAACTATACTGAAATGTGACAAAATGCATAAAAAAAAATTAACCAGAACACACTTTAAAGCATATGTCCCTATGTAAGATGATGGGAAAAAAAAAAGGGGGGGGGAGGGGGGAATTCACCAGTACACCTCAAAAACAAGCATAAAGATGCATCCGGTCTGAGTTTCTGTGTTGTAAACCGGCCCTTAGAGTATAAAAGACACATTGGATGGACTTTGATTTCACTTTTTGGTGTTTCACTGGATACTTGTCACGTTAAAGAAGTTGATCATTTATCACGTTTTACTTTGATTATAAGAGCATGGTATTTATGTATATGAGGGGAGTGCAGCACTTTAGTGTACTTATTTAAACATTTTTGCACTTTATTTATAGTATTTGTGGGGTGTTATAAAACTATTTATAGCAGCGTTGGTGTGATTGTTTAGTTGACAACCCAGATTTTGGATCACATTTTACTTTCTAATGGTTCCATAGCTTATCAAAGGGCTGTCAGAAATGCATACACAATCCCAAGCAAATCCCAAAGATCCTCAAATATGGACATTCATATTTAGTGAAGGCAGAGCAGCGTGGCAAGGATAAACAGCACAAGGTGAGGCAAGTGCAATTACAGTATTTTCTGGTGTATAAGACTACTTTTTATACTTAAAAATATACTCCAAAAATTGGGGGTCGTCTTATACGCGGGGTATAAAATGTGAACCTGAGTTTGTTTGGGTCAAGCTGGCTGGATGTGTGGTAATACTGTGCTGAGCCAAGCTGGCTCAAAACAAATGTCCCTATGACAGATTAATCTGTCAGCTCGCTGGATGTGCGGTATATACAGTATACTGCGCTGAGCCAAGCGGTTTTAAAATGTACCGGTACGTCCCTACTGTAATCAGCCCGCTGAATGTGTGTATGTACGGTAGCTGTGGCTACATACAGTATACACTGGAGCAATCACGACAAGTGATGTATTCTACTAATGAATACAAAGCCTGCTCGGATTGGCTGAGTCAGAGAGGTGGGCTGATGATGTCACAACCTCAGCCAATCCGAGCAGGCTTTGTATTCATTAGTAGAATACATCGCTCGCTGTGATTGGCCCAGTGTATTCTGTATGTAGCCTCAGCTACTGTACATACACACATCCAGCGGTCTGATTACCGTAGGGATGTACCGGTACGTTTTGAAACCGCTTGGCTCAGCGCAGTGTACTGTATATACTGCACATCCAGCAGGCTGACAGATTAATCTGTCATAGGGACATTTGTTTTGAGCCAGCTTGGCTCAGCGCGGTATACTGTATGTACATTACTGCACATCCAGCGGGCTGTATATATACTGTATGTAGCCGAAGCTACCGTATTACCGCACATCCAGCGGGCCGTATATATACTGTATACTGTATGTAGCCGAAGCTACCGTATTACCGCACATCCAGCGGGCTGTATATATACTGTATACTGTATGTAGCCGAAGCTACCGTATTACCGCACATCCAGCGGTAACCATCTGATTTGGAATTTGATCCATATGATGACTGTCTTACAAATGTATCACAAGATGTCATTCATGAACTTATGATGTCAGAGGATGAACATGAGGATTTTGAAGCATTTTAAGTACTGGTAAGTCATAACCATTCAACCATTTCAATTAAAAAATCTGATGTTTTTAAATGGTGTTGCTTCGGAAGGGGGATAGTCTTATAAAGCGAGTATAGCCCAAAACCTATGTTTTAACTGGAAAATTAGGGGGTCGTCTTATACACCCAGTCACCTTATACGCCGGAAAATACGGTACCTCATTATAGGGAAACACAATAATGGCTGTCAGAAATTTTCTAAAGCTAAATACCATTTTTCTTGTTCAGTTTCCTTTAGATTTACCTTCAACTATGCAGCTTAAGGGCCTGCCCAATTGCATATAAATTGAAAGTTTAGGTTTGACCTCATATTGTATGGTTTTGGTAAAAAAAAAATAAATAAATAAATTGTACAAGAAATATGTAAAATGTATGGCAAGCCTAACTTGCAGCCAATCTGCAATCTATGGCAGCCAATCTGCAAACGATCAACAAACGTCTTCTGGCATGTTTGATCAACTTCTGTTGAATACACAGGGCAAAAAAACAATTTAAAGGTGGGATGTTGTGTACCAAGATTCAACAAAATCACTAGAGGAGGTATCATCCCCAAACTCGTATCATAGGGAAAAAAAACCCATAGAAGAAAGGGTTGGGGAGGAGACTTTAAATAAGCTTCCAGTAGCAAATTAATCCAAAAGCAAAAAATCTAAAAAACACATAACATTTTTTATAAAAAAAAAAAAAAAACTCACTAAAAACACTGCCTCAAAGGGACTATTAAAAACGTGTTACAAATTTATATGCATCTTTGATGCCTGTACCCCTTTTTTTGAGTTGGCACCCGTGGAAAGGACCAGTGAGGTGTGGATTACCATGTACAGTTGGGAAAATTATTTGATCCCCTGCAGATTTTGTAAATTTTCCCACTTACAAAGAAATGAAGGATCTATAATTTTTATCATAGGTGTATTTTAAAGATAGAGACAGAATATCAACTAAAAATCCAGAAAAAACACTATACAAATGTTACACAATTGAGTTGCAGTTCAGTGAGTAAAATAAGTATTTAATCCCCAAGCAAAACATGACCTTGTGCTTGCTATCAAGGGTTTCTCCACCAAGTACTTTCCTTTTGATTACCAAGTACCAAGACATTTCTGGTAGATGGTTACCAGGTTTGCACACATCTCAGGAGGGATTTTGGGCCACTCTTCTTTACAGATCTTCTCTAAATCCTTAAGATTTCTTAGCTGTTGCTTGGCAACTTGAAGTTTCAGCTCCCGCCATAAATTTTCCTATAGGATTAAGGTCTGGAGACTGGCTAGGCCACTCCATGACCCTAATGTGCTTCTTCTTGAGCCACCCTTTGTTGCCTTGGAAGTATGTTCTGGGGTCATTGTCATGCTGGAAGACCCATCTATGACCCATCTTCAGTGTTCTGGCTGAGGGAAGAAGGTTCTCATCCAAGATTTTACAATACATGGCCCCATTCATTGGTCCCTCAATGAGGCAAAAAGTCTGTCTGCACCTGTAGCAGAGAAACAGACCCAAAGCATAATGTTTCCACCACTGTGCTTGATTATAGGGATGGTGTTCTTAGGGTCATAGTCAGCATTTTTCTTCCTCCAAAAATGGCAAGTCGAGTTCATGACAAAGAGCACAATTTTGCTCTCATCTGACCACAGCACTTCCTCCCAATCCTCTGAATTGTTTAGATGTTCACTGACAAACTTCAAAACGGGCCTGTACATCTGCCTTCTTGAGGAGGGGGACCTTGCAGGCATTGCAGGAATTCAATCCATGGTGGCGTATTGTATTACCAATGGTTGGTTTGGCAACTGTGGTACAACTGCCCTGAGATCATTCACAAGCTCCTCCCGTGTAGTTCTGGGCTGATCCCTCACTTTTCTCATGGTCATCCTTACCCATGAGGTGAAATCTTGCATGGAGCTCCAGACCGAGGGCAATTGATGGTTATTTTGTATTTCTTCCATTTGCGAATAATCGCTCCAACAGTTGTCTCCTTCTCAGTCAACTTCTTGCCGATGGTCTTGTAGCCCATTCAAGCCTTGTGCAGGTCTACAATCCTGTCCCAGATGTCCTTTGACAGCTCTTTGGTCTTGCCCATGGTGGTGCCCAAGAAAGATTCTGTGGACACGTGTCTTTTATACACATAAGGAGTTGTCGTTAGGAGCACCTTCTGAAATGAAAGGACTAATCTGTGTACCACATGAACACATAGCCAGTCTGTGGGAGCCAGAATTATTGTTGGGTGTCAGGGGATCAAATACTTATTTTACTCACTGAACTGCAACTCAATTTAAAAAAAATGTATCGTGTTTTTTTCTGGATTTTTGGTTGATATTCTGTCTCTATCATTTCAAATACACCTATGATAATTATAAACCCTTCATTTCTTTGTAAGTGGGCAAATTTACAAAATCTGCAGGGAATTAAATAATTAGTTTCCCCACTGTATGTGGTCATGTATACTTTGGGCTCTGTGCGGTTTGGGTTTGTTTTTTTTCTCCTTTTGTTCTTCTTCCTGCATGTGCAAGGTAAGTGGTGGAGGTTGGCATTTACTGTATACTGTACTGTATCTTATCTGTTATCACTATTATTGGTTTCTTACAGAACCCATAAGAATTTTGACATTTACTTCATGCAATTGAGACCAGATAAGTCCTGAAGAAGCAGATTTTAACTGTGAAGAGTGTAGAGTATATTATCTTCTCTGTGTGTTATGTAAAATCGATTTGTCAAAACTTCTTACTCTTTATACAAATCCAATTCCAATATACATTTGTAAACTATGTTTATAATAGACCTGTAAGACAGTATTTAGTATTTTAGAGAATAATTTTCTAATAACATTTTTAATTTGCTACTGGAGGTATATTTGAAATCCCCCCTTTTTTTTCTATTTTTTTTCTTCCTAGAATAGACAGGGCCACACACAGATCGAAATTCAGCCAGATTCCTGTTGAAATTTTGAACCGTCTAAACTCAGCAAAAGGCTGCCGCTTTTCTTTTTACAACACAGAGACTAATCCAAATGTTACTCTGAAGACATATGATTACATCAGCTTTACATTTAGACAGGTAAAGTCAAGGCTTACATTAATTTCTTTGTAACAGAAGCAGACAAGGATTGCTTGCATAAACTTTTTTAAAAAGTTCCCTTTTTTTCTTTTTTTTTTAGTACACTGCCATCACACTTTTAATTTCAACACAAATCTTACCATCTTATCCTCATTTGGAGTTAACATATTTTATGCTCCTTTATTTACCTGTAAAATTCTCTCTTGTGCAGACATCCAAAAGCCCTGAGACTGCTGCTTGGAAGCAGTACAGAGTGCAGTTAGGCAAGCCATAGATGGACTGAATCTCGGCCGGTTCAGCAGGGACCGACCGAGATTCGAACCTTCTATGGTCAGGCTGATTGTACCTATTTTGAATATGATATGACTTGAGTACAATCAGCATGTGAATATTGGAAGCCGCTGTAGCCGGTAGTAAAAAAATCACTGTTTTCTCCTTTCCGGGACCACTCCCACCAGCCAAGAGAACACAACAGCTCCGCGGGAGGGATTCCCCCCCCCCCCCATCAACATTGACTGTGTTGATAGGGGAATCCAGCGATTTCATTTTCTGCAACCCATGAAAATCACATCATCTATGGTCGGCTTTAAACACTCTTAGAAGTGGAGAGGGCTATACCATACAAAGATAGTCAAATATTCTAGCAAGTTCAAAGGCACATTTCAAGTGGACAATAAATACATTTCTAGCATGAAAAGGACTGCAAGTAAGCGTTTAAAATAAATTATTTTCTGTGCTTTAGCCTGCATTTTTTAAATTGGTGACAGGGTCTCTTCAAAGTTGTTTAAAAACAAACACTGAACACTTAGCAGCCAGAAACAACCCTGTCCACCATGCTTGTTACATGAATTACTTGATCAGGATTTAACATGTATAAAAATGTGTAATTCTTCTAAACTGAACAGACCATTCCATACCTCTTGACAAAAACAAACGTCTATATCTTAGTAACCAGACTCTAGACAATTTTTTTCCATTTTTACTTATGTAATTGGCATCATTATCACATCCACGCGAACGTGAGGAGGGATCACCCTGTAATATCATTAAAATTATATTGTACAGAGTATGTGTGTGTATATATATATTTAATAAATATATAGACCCACACATACATACATATATATATTTATATAATTCATTATTTGTAACATTTCTGTTTTTCTGTTCCATCTGTGGGGAATGCATTATGTCAATATGGAAAGTCCAAGATATCACGAGCCAGGGGTGGAGGGAGAGAAGGGTGCTGGGGCTACCCTTGCTGCTGTGTCCCTAATGCAGTACCAGGGAATAAAGTAGAAACCAGAGGTGCAGTTGGTATACCCTTTTTAGGTCCTTAAATGTAAAATGTTAAATAGAAGTCCCTGCTCCTCTGTCCATAAAATTCTCCTCTGGAACCACAGCAAAGGGATAACCGTTATCAACCCCTAATCAGATGCCAAAAAAAGCAGGAGATCACGTTTCCAAACATCTACATTTTTGAAACTCCTCCCTTCCAAAGTTTTGGGACTAAATCCTGGAGTGTTGTTGGTTCTGCTCCCCTTCAAAAATCTGATTTTTTTTTTTTCCCCCCCCCCAACCAGCCTGGGTAATGCAGCAAGGAAAAACTGAAAAAAATCTGTGGGTTGCTAGACCCCGCCCAAAAGTGCAAAGGGCGTGTGCGCTCTTACATTAGGGAGGAAAGTCTCCGCTCCCCCCACCACGACCACAGTAAGCTGGCGCATTCTCTTCCAAATGAGTCCAGCTGGAACCCCACACACGGATGGTGAGGGAGTCCAGACATAGGTCTCTTCTCATAGGATGGCACAGCATCTGCAGAATCGTTGCCTGCTGCCCCCCACGGAGGGAGGTGGTGTGACTGGAGCAAAGTAGGCATGGACTTTAATGTTAGGGAGATGTGTCTAAAAGAAAAAAACAAAGGGGATACAAGATATTTCATTAGTGCGAGAGCTGTAAAGCTAAAACTCAAAATGTATTTGACAATTTATTGCAGAAAACAAGCAATAGAAAGGGCACAGTAACTAATTTTCAGTTTATTGTGGTCAAGAGAATGAATGCTTCAGTCAAATCAAAAATTCTATTTTAGTTATAGATGGAGCCAGATGGGCCAAACACCATGGCTTTGTCATACATCTAGCTATGTTACCAAGAACATCTCTTTGATATAGTTTCAAACTTTGTACCTGTCCTCCTGGGAGCTTATGCTATTCCCACATTAGGCAAAGTAAATCAAATCAAACTGTCCAGTGTGGTCAGTTTTTCCTTTAGCAGGTGGCATAGGAGTAGTAGGTGGGACAGCGTGCAGGTTAAGTTGCACGTCATGTCCTGGCTTGTCCAGCTCCAGTCACTGGGCTGCAAGGAGATCTGTGTTCCCGGGGGTGAGGGAGCAGTGCGGGATGAGAGGAGTCATTTCTCATCTATGCTATTGGACATTTAAAGCGGAGTTCCACTCACGCTGTCAAAAAATAAAAGTCAGCAGCTACAAACACTGTAGCTGCTGACTTTTAAAAAACAACCACTTACCTGTCCTCGGTCCCACGGTGTGTCCCCTGCAGCCCGTTTTCACCGGCCGTTCTGTATTCTAGTAAGCCAGCATCTTCAGTGTGGGCACCCGGCTGTGACAGCTTGCGGCTTCACAGCTGGGTACCCACTGCGCATGCGTGATTAGCACTGCGCCTAATGAATGGTCCTGTAGTCTTCTGGGACTTGTAATGTGTCCCAAAAGACCATAGGGAGGGAGGGAGGACACCTTCCGCTTTCGATCGCCTAGGCGATCGGACCGGAAGTGGGAGAGGATACCTGTCAAATTTGGGTACCCGCTCCACCCCCACCCCCAAAAGGTGCCAATCCTTAAAGGGGAGCGGGGGAGCAGTCTTTAAAGCGGAACTTCCCCTTTTGGGTGAAGCTCTGCTTTAAAGTCCAGTAAGGTGCATGGTTTGGAAGGTGGCGGCGAGTGGATTTTGTTGCACTAGTGGTGTTGAAGAGGAGAGCACATATCACATGTCTAAAGGATACTACACTATCATATGTTTTCTCTGGAGGTATTCTTTAGGAGGATGAGGATGCATTCGAAGGATCAGTTTTTGAGCGGATTCTAATATGGAATGAGATTTAAAGTCATGTACAAGTATTTTTAGGGTAAGAGTATTTAATTCAGCCACATAGAAGTGGACACTGGGTGATTTATGCAAATCCTGAACACGATATACTCTGAGATTTTGTTTTTAAGTTTTATTTTGACATTTATGCAATAAGGATAATGCACTATATGTAGTTTTTTTTTTTTTTTTTTGAGGCACATGTGGATATTTAAGAGTGATTTTTTTTTGGAGATGGATCAAGTGGAAGTATGAATAATATTGGAAGATTCACAGACGCTGAGAGGGTTTATTTGACTTTGGACCTTCAGGGGAGAAAGTGTGACTTTTTGTGCGTCTAGGGTGGTTTTTTTTATTTTTTAATAATTTTATGGGTATACCGATTTTTCTATTCATTGGCATAGGAGTAGGTCAACAGATTTATGAATGCTCCCCAACCCATCATCCAGATATCAGCACCACTTCCCGAGTACGTATATATGTTTGTCGGCCGTGAAGTTATTAAGGGCTCGCTTATACTTTTGTTGATTCGTAACACACAAAGTGCCTACCGCTTTAACATGCATTTTTGATGCTTTTGTGATTCTTTTTTTTCTTTCTATTTTTTCCAATACATGAAATATACAGCGATGTTAACTTTAAAGCATCTCTCTACCACTGCAGGTGCGGTTAGGGAGTGCTGTAATAGACATCTAAGGAGAAACTCCAACAGATGTCAGAAACCAGCGCTCAAATCTTCATGCTGCACATAAAACATGGAATATAGCACTCGCTAAGGTGCCGCCCTTGATAGATCGGAGAATCCTGATGCTAGCAGAAAAGAACAAAACAGGGCGCACTCTCATCGTGCATTACTGTAATAGTAAGAAATTTATTCTAAAATTACAAATGCAAACTCACAAACCAAAAAGGTCATAAAAACAGAGACAAGGAGCCAAACATGCCAATCGTGGACTACAGAGGTCCTAGGGTAATAGTTCTAACGCGTTTCGGGAGTTGAACTCCTTTCCTCAGAGCAATAAATAATATAAAGTAAAAAATATAAAGTAATAAATAAAACAGATCTATTGCTCTGAGGAAGGGAGTTTGGCTCCCGAAACGCATTAGAACTTTTACCCGAGGACTCTGTAGTCCACAATTGGTATCTTTGGCTCTCTAAAATAGAAGATTGATATGTGTGAAAGAGCCCTAACAGCAAGGCTGCAAAGGCATTAACCAGTCCACAGAATCTGTCACCTGTTTTTTAAAGTGAGCAAATAAAAAATTCCGTAGAAATTGATTTTCAGTGCATTGCTTTTAGAGGATAAGTAGGGCCACAGCTCATTTGGCCCCACTTCTCCTGTGGGTTACTGGAGTACACTGCATTCTGCACTACTGAGACCTGTTTTCAGTCGACAGTGGGCTAAAGCTCGCTTGTGGCATAAATAACTAAGCCAGTTCAGGCTGTGGAGAGATCCTAACTTTAAAGTGTTACTAGACCCACAACAGTAAAATCAGTCTGTATATGCAGTAAAGCATTCTTGTTATACTCACTGTGGAACCTAAGGGCTTAATCTTCTGCATTGTGTACAAAGGCCGTTTGATCCTGATTTCTCTGCTCCTCCTCTTGTTCAAATGTCCACGTCTTATCTCCTGATAAGACAGACTGAACCATAGCCATTCTGCACATGCTCAGTTTAGTGTGTATTGCTAGAGAGGTGTTTTGTTTTTTTTTTCTTGGGAGAGTGCATGTGATCAGCACAGGGCCAATCAGCACTGTCCAGACAGAGGTCAGAGGTTTTGCATCCTCCTAGAGCAGAAAAAAAAAAAAAAAAACTCCTCCTACAGGCTTTAACCAATGCTCTGCTGAACACTGATAGAAGTCACAAGACTGCTCTAACTGCTGATGAGTAAAGTTATTTAGAAGTTTATATTTACTAAAATAATCGCACTTCTATGTTCTGTGTACTGTGGGAGACCGAATATAAGGAATGCAGGGTCCGGGGTTTAGTAACACTTTAAAATAGAGAGCCACCCAGATACCTGGCCAGAAGCTGGCTTAGCCTTCCAGTGAGCCGCTGAGAATCTGAACCAGCCACTCCCACTACCTCCACAGGCTGGTGCTCCAGTGAGCACAGAAGGGGCAGAGCAGAGAGCTGGTAATTGACAGTCCCTGGATCTGTGCTCACTGCAGATTGAGAACTGAGCAATCAGCGGGAGGACAGATGCAGCATCTAATCATTTGGTTGCTCAAACCTCAGAAACAACAGTGGGTGCTGGACAACTGCACATCTTTCCATTCTTTAAAATCTTTTTTTCTTTGAAAGCTGATTGAACATTATGAACATTGAGACAGCCCATTAAAAGCCCTGTGTTGATCCAGCTTTGCAGACATGTTTTCAATTCACCCCTTCCATGACAGAGAATCTGCAAAGGTTGCTCCCTACCCGAAGTCTTTTGATGCCAGCCCGTGTGATCTGTTGGCAGTCATACAATTCAATACGTTCAAGACTCTGGCAGCTTTTTAAGTGCTCCAATGATGCATCAGTGATGAGAGGACAATTATCTAATTCGATAACTTCAAGACGATCATGGGCACAAGCACCATTGCCCAAGTGGCGGATACCATCATCTGTGATCAACTCGCAGTGGGAAAGGCTCTGAATAGAGAAAAGAGAAAAATTATGCTCGTAGGTATTATAAATACTGGAGAGGTGAGACAACCTATCTGAAGGTGATATAAATACTAAAAAACCTGAGACAACTAATCTGACCCCAGCCCCCCATTTCTCTGACCAGAATGGAGCTATAAGCAACAGAAATGTATTTCCTGTAGGTCTGATACTAGAACGTATGCTTGGAGAGTCTTGGCTAATAGCTTCAAAAGAAGATGCTAGATTTACATTTAGCCCTGCTTCACACTGATGCGGTGCGGAACTTGCAGCGTTTTCTGTGCAAATTCCTGCACCGTATCAGAATCGCACCCCATTCATGTGAACCGCTACGGGCGTGTATGTTAAGTTAACAACACCCCAAAAGCTGTCCGCAAAACCCAGTGAGATGTGCAGAATCGGATCACATAGGTGTGAATACCCATGCGATCCGATTCCAGTGCGAACCCAAAAAAGGGCCCTGCACCTTTTTGGCACGGAAGCAGTGCGATTACCCATATGGAAGAAAAATATATTTGAAATATATTTTAAAAATTTTCTCCCCAAATATACTGCCATATATTTGAAATGCTACAATTTTGGCCATATTCAATATATTTAAAAAAAAAAAAAAAAAAATATATATATATATATATATATATATATATCTCATGTTGAAATGCGTTTTTTCTTACAAAACATATGAAAAATATTTTTAAACACACATTTCAAATATACTGTATGTCTTTAAAAATACAAATCTACATTTTTGGAATGCATTCACAAACATATGTAACATTATATGTTAAAATAACTTTTTATATGTTAAAAAAAAATATGAAGAATACATTTAAAAAAAAAATACATTTCAAAAATGTAGATTTGTATTTTTAAAGACATACAGTATATCTGACATGTATTTTTAAAAATATATTGTGTAATAAAAATGCATTTCAACATGCAGTATATATATATATTTATTACAGGTACTTATATAGCGCTGTCAATTTACACAGTGCTTTACATATACATTGTCCGGAGTACTCACGCAGGCAAAGGGAGAACATGCAAACTCTAGGCAGGTGGTGCCGTGGTTGGGATTTGAACGACCCTACTACTGCCAGGCGGACGTGCTAACCATTTAGCCACTGTGCTGCCCAATATATATATATTGAATATGGCCAAAATTGTAGCATTTCAAATATATGGCAATATATTTGGGAAAAATATTTTTAAAATATATTTCAAATATGTTTTTCTTCCATGTGGGTACAGCCATACAAAATGTATGGCTGCAATCGCACCGCACACAAATCGCATGTGATCTGCACAGGAATGCGGTGCGGTTCCTGTGCGAATCACATGCGATATACCGCACCGCATATAAGTGAACCCAGGCTGAATGTACTTTTTTTTTTTTTTTTATAGTGGGTAATAGGTTGAAAGCAGCACGTATTCTTAAATATGACACGACATTGCAAACATCCTTGTAGCAAGATGTTACATTTTGTTGTCCCCAAAGACAATAAAATGTTACATTGTGTGATCTATTTGATGATGATATTTCCTCAAGTCTAAATCTTCAAGAGATTTCCAACAAGGGATTTGTCTTGGCTGCCCCTAAACTACATTTATTTAGTTATTATTAATATTATTATATAATAACAATTATAAAGTTATTATTTAGTTTGCGAAAAAAAAAAAGGTAATGAACCCTTTCACTTCCAGCACTGCTTCCTGCTGGCCAGGTCCATACAGACCCGATTCCCTCTTCTGCTATAAGCTCATGGTTACTCCAGTGACCATGAACTTATAGCCGAATTGTTCATCAGATGCTGTTGAACAAAACAATAACTCTGATCAGTGTATGACAATCCGCTGATTAGAGCTATTCACCTACAAAGTGACGCCCCACCCCACAGCCTGCCTGTCACCCTCTGTTTTTTATGTCCCTCCACCTAACCTTCTACCCTGGCTGCCAAAATGCCCTCACCCCCCCTTACTGACCCGTTCCTCTGCCACCGATCCCCCCCAGCACCTTTCTTACCCTCAGCACCAGCTGCTTCCCCTCCTCTGCCAGTACCATTCTCCGTCGGTGGATGCAATTGTTGGATTCCCCCTGCTGCCTCTCCCGCCAGCAATTGCATCCAGCCACAGTGCTCAAAATTGTGAAAAAAAAAAAAAAGTAAGTAAGATAATCCCCCTGCTGTGACCCCCACCCCTCCCTTTAGTGTCCCCCCCCCCCCCACTCAATCGGTACTGATTGCTTCTGTTCATTTATTACTGAAGTATAGTTAACAGTGTTTACTATACTTACATTTGAGAATGAATAGGAGTCTCTATGCAGACTCCTATCTCATTCACCTACAGTGCAGCTCAGGCTGCAGAGAAAGGGACTGTCTTCAGTCCCTTTCTCTGTTTCAAAAAAGAGACAAAGCCATAGTAATGCCCCTTTCACATGGGCAGACCAATTCGGACCGCCTCTGTTTTTTAGGCGGACCCAATTGGACCCTCCATTATCCTCTATGGAGCAGCGGATGTAAATGGAGTTATGTCCATTTAAACTCGCCTACATTTAAACAAGATCCACTAAAAACATTCCCTGTCTGTATAGCGGATCGGATGGGAGTCAGGTGTAAACCGACAGGTGGTCCATTTACATCCCACCACCAATAGGGGACAGCAGGCTGTGTGTTCTGCATAAACGGAGCGGACATGAACCAGCCATCTGCCCCAAACCGCAAGTCTAAACAAGGCCTAGGGCCTCATTCATGCAGAGCACACTACAATGTGGCTGTGTTGAGGAAGTGTTCCATGCATCCCCATGCAGGCAGTTCCATTTATGTCAAATGGGACACAGCAGCTGTAGGGGAATGCAAAAGGTGTTTCGTGCATTTCTGTGCAGGCAGTCCCATTCATGTCAATTGAGATGCAGAGGCTGCATGGACACAGCCACTGCTCCCAACTTGACATCCATGTACGTGCATGTTCCTGAACTCACAATGTGTGTTTGGAGCCACGAACCTACATCTGCACGGAAGTCAGATCTGTCCTTAGATCTACTGTATCCCAATTGACATGAATGGGGCTGCCTGCATAGGGATGCACAGAGTGCAGGTAAACACAGCCCTCTATTGGCATACACTTTTGTATACCCCAGGTGAATGAGTGCTTAGTAGGAATTTAGCAGGAATTATTTGTGTTTATGTATGCAAATAAGGATTTTAGGGTTTTTTTTAAACCAGCGATTTGATAAACATTTATGTTGCACAACTACTGTGGGGCCTAAAAGATCAGTAGCACTCTTTTTATTTTACTTGTGATCTGCTTTCAGAAAATATATGGTATGGAGGTAGTTTAAAACTCTGAAAGCTGTAAGTGAAAAATAAAAAACTTAAGATTTTTATAGAAATACTTAGAGTTTTGCGTGCAGTTGACTTTCACCATTTCGCAAAAAGGCACAATTTAAAATTTACTAATATTTGTTATTAACTCAATACATGTTAAACATTCATATTTAGTAGGCATTTTATAAAATTTGCTGTGTTTGTATCCGCTAATAATGATTTTAGTATATTTTTAGAGAAAATATTGTTTTGATAAACATTTGCGCAAATATAATGGGGCCTTAAAAATCAATAGCACCTTCTTTTTATTCTACTGGTCATGTGCTTTCAGAAAATACCGTATATACTAGAGTATAAGCCGACCCGAATATAAGCCGAGGTACCTAATTTTACCACAAAAAACTGGGAAAAACTATTGACTCGAGTATAAGCCGAGGGTGGGAACACCAGTGGGAAGAATCATGCCTCATCATTGGTGTCAGTGGGAGGAATAGTGCCCCATCATTGGTGTCAGTGGGAGGAATAGTGCCCCATCATTGGTGTCAGTGGGAGGAATAGTGCCCCATCATTGGTATCAGTGGGAGGAATAGTGCCCCATCATTGGTGTCAGTGGGAGGAATAGTGCCCCATCATTGGTATCAGTGGGAGGAATAGTGCCCCATCATTGATGTCAGTGGGAGGAATAGCGCCCCATCATTGGTATCAGTGGGAGGAATAGTGCCCCATCATTGGTATCAGTGGGAGGAATAGCGCCCCATCATTGGTGTCAGTGGGAGGAATAGTGCCCCATCATTGGTATCAGTGGGAGAGGAATAGTGCCCCATCATTGGTGTCAGTGGGAGGAATAGCGCCCCATCATTGGTGTCAGTGGGAGGAATAGTGCCCCATCATTGGTATCAGTGGCAGGAATAGTGCCCCATCATTGGTGTCAGTGGGAGGAATAGTGCCCCATCATTAGTATCAGTGGGGGGAATAGCACCCCATTATTGGTGTCAGTGGAATAGTGCCCCATCTTTGGTGTCAGTGGGAGGAATAGTGTCCCATCATTGGTGTCAGTGGGAGGAATAGTGTCCCAACATTGGTGTCAGTGGGGGGGTGGAGGAATAGTGCCCCATCGTTGGTGTCAGTGGGGGGGAGGAAAAGTGCCCCATCGTTGGTGTCAGTGGGGGGAGAAATAGTATCCCATGATTGGTGTCAGTGGGGGGTGGAATAGTGCTCCATGATTGGTGTCAGTGGGGGGTGGAATAGTGCCCCATCATTGGTGTCAGTGGGAGGAATAGTATCCCATCATTGGTGTCAGTGGGGGGGTGGAATAGTGCTCCATGATTGGTGTCAGTGGGGGGTGGAATAGTGCCCCATCATTGGTGTCAGTGGGAGGAATAGTGTCCCAACATTGGTGTCAGTGGGAGGAATAGTATCCCATCATTGGTGTCAGTGGGGGGGTGGAGGAATAGTGCCCCATCGTTGGTGTCAGTGGGGGGGAGGAAAAGTGCCCCATCATTGGTGTCAGTGGGGGGGAGGAATAGTATCCCATGATTGGTGTCAGTGGGGGGTGGAATAGTGCTCCATGATTGGTGTCAGTGGGGGGTGGAATAGTGCCCCATCATTGGTGTCAGTGGGGGGGGGGGGGGGAGGAATAGTGCCCAATCGTTGATGTCAGTGGGGGGGAGGAAAAGTGCCCCATCGTTGGTGTCAGTGGGAGGAATAATGCCCCATCATTGGTATCAGTGACACCAATAATGGGGCACTATTCCTCCCACTGACACTTGCTGACCCCTGTTCCAGTATGGTGCTGCTGCAGCCAGCATATGTGGTTGCAGCAGCATCTAAGCACGGCACACTTACCTGCATCTCCTTCACTCGATTTTTGTGGGGCCGCTCAGCTCCGCCTCCTCGCCGGTGATTGGCCGCCTGTGTGCCTTTCCTGAGCTACAGTTCTGGCGGCCAATCACTGGTGAGAATGCAGAGCCGAGCAGCCGCGCGAACATCCAGTGGACGAACCGAATGAAGGAGCAGCCGCGCTTCCTGGACCGGATCGTCGTGGGACCGGAGCCAGGTAAGAGACAGCAGCCCCCTGCAGACGTTGACTCGAGTATAAGCCGAGGGGGCTGTTTTTCAGCACAAAAAATGTGCTGAAAAACTCGGCTTATACTCGAGTATATACGGTATATAGTTTAGGCAGTCTTTTACAAACTCTGAAAGCTGTAAGGCAAAATTAAAAAAGCAATGGAAAAATTGCAAAAAATGGTATGGCCAGCTGAGTTTAAAGGTGAAGTGCAGGGCCTGGCAGCAAAAGGGTTAAAGTGAGTGAAGGGAGAGCTGGGATCACTCCTTAGTAAGCCCATCTAGGGCCTGAATCTAGGGACTGAAGAGCCGGAGTGGTGTGGTTGGGATGGGATTTTTTTTTAGAGGCTTCTAAGCTAAAAAGACAGGGAATACTGCAGCTGGAATGAAAACAAGATTTTTTTAAAATTTGCTTTCAATACACCTACAATGTTCAGAAGTCCACATAAAACAGGTGCAAGCCATCTCTTCTTCCTTACTCTTTTCCTACATTTAACATTAAAAGTAATAACAGAGATTGTTAAATGATGGATTATCCATTAGGGAAGTGGTCTCCAAAATGTGGCTCGGGGGCCAGATGCATCTCTTTACTTGCCTTTATTCAGCCATTAGGACAATATTCTTTCAACTGACACCAACGATGGGGAATTATTCCTCCCACTCATATCAATAACGAGGCACTATTCCTCCCACTAAAGCCAATGATGGGACATTATTCCTCCCACTCATATCAACAACGAGGCACTATTCCTCCCACTAAAACCAATGATGGGGCATTATTCGTCCCACTCATATCAACAACGAGGCACTATTCCTTCTACTAAAAACCAATGATGGGGCATTATTCCTCCCACTAAAATGGGGACACTATCTACTAAAACCAATGATGGGGCACTATTCCTCCCACTAAAACTAATGATGGGGCACTATTCCTCCCACTAAAAACTAATGATGGGGCACTATTCCTCCCACTCATATCAATAATGAGGCACTATTCCTCCCGCTAAAATTAATGATGGGGCACTATTCCTCCCATTGACGCCAGGTCATTTTCTACTCGCTGGCCCACCTAAAGTACGAAAGCCAGTAAACTGGCCCTTCGTTTAGAAATTATGGAGACCCCTGCTTTAGGGGATCAGGAAGGAATTCTGTTTTCACCTTTGGAGTGAATCAGACCATGCTTTATAGGTTTTTTTTTGCCTTCTTCTGGTTCAACTGTTGGTGTTAGCGGCTATCGGCTTGTAATCCTCAATGAACTACCACGGCGTTGTGAAGCGCCATGGTAGTTCATTAATTCTTCCTGTCAGTATATCTTCTTTCCCGTACATCCTATACAGGCAAGCAGATATACTGACAGGTCTGCAGACCTGCATGGCACAAGCGATCTACAGATCACAGGTGCAATGCTTTACAGGCTCCTGCAGACAAAAATAATAAATGCACTTTTTTTTAACTGCAAAAAAATGTGCATTTATTATTTTTTATTAAAAGGTAAACTTATCCTTTAATAAGCAATGTGACAATGTCTCCTTAGTAGTCTTCCTGGTGCATTTGTTCTAAAACTATTCTTCTAGGCCATAACAAAGTTGCCTCTCTACTGCAAGAGCCATGATAAAAAAAAAGATAACGGTCAAAAGAAAACATGAACCTTTTTCCAAAATGGCTTTAAAAGTAAAAAAAGCAAATAAAATCAGGTTATCAATTCTTTCCATCCTAATTAAAGTGAAACTGCATCCATTTTTTTTGCACTGCATCATAGTGCAGAGCATGTAAAAACCACGTGAAGAAAGAAGATGGAAGGGATCGCAAAGGACATGCAACCTAGTTTAGGAAAAATGCACTGCAAATGTGCATAAAAAACCCATATCAAATTATCATCACCGCGCATGTAAAGGTGTGCAGTCAATGCGCAGTTTCTGGTGTGACTGGACTCTTATAATCTGGTACATTTTCTGCACCTGTTTTAGGATTCTTTTGTGCCAATAAAACTTGAAAAAATAAAATAAAAACTGAACATCGCCCCTACCACACAAAGTAACACTCACCAACACTTGCAGCCTTGGACAGTGTATGGAAAGCTGGATAAGAGTGCTATCTGTAATCTGCAACACAAAGAAAGGTGAAGTAAAATGCAGTCAATGCCACGTCTCTGCCAAACCTAAACTCCCAGTATCTGAAATAGCACTCAGGACTACAACTTCTCCATTTTCATAACTTTTCTTTACTATGCCACAATGCTATTTCCATAGTGTATGTGCAAGGGGCGTTCAAGTCAAACCGGGACTTTTGAGTTTATAGAATAAAAGAACAAATTTCGAGGAGTGGAAACTGAATTTATTTTTCAACATACTCCCCTGCTACATTTATGCCAGTGTTTAATGCCTGGAAAGCTTTGGCATAGAATGATTTGTCAGTACGCCTGAACCATCCTAAAACTCTTGTACAATTTCATGACAGGTTACGCGTCAATCCAGGATCAGGCGTTCCATGCATCATCAAATGTCTTTCTGTGGCCAAGCGTCTTATCACCGTACTGTGCTTGAAGTCTTCTGTAGATATCCGTGGGTTTTACACCTTCGTTCATAAGAAACATCATCACCACACTCTGTTCCATGCAAGCACTAACGCTGTTGTCTACCATCTTGATTAACGGTCTCTGGACTGGCCCGCGTCATGTACGCCGCCTATCAGTAATAGCACACACTTGCCACCACTTGTAGTAATGACACACTAGCATCCCTTTTTATACCTGTAATATTTAAATCCCCGGTTTGACTTAAACGCCCCTTGTGTATAAATATAAAAAACTAAAATAATGCGGTTGCATAAGTGTGCGTGCACACCCTCTTATAACTGGGGGTGTAGCTGTTGTTCAAAATTAAGCAATCATGTTCAAAATCATGTTAAATAGGAGTCAGTACACAACTGCCATCATTTAAAGTGCCTGTGAATAACCCCAAATAAAGTTCAGCTGTTCTAGTAGGTCTTTCCTCACATTTTCTTAGTCACATCCTACAGCAAAAGCCATGGTCCACAGAGAGCTTCCAAAGAGTCAGAGGGATCTCACTGTTAAAAAGGTATCAGTTCCAAGGCATTAGATATACCATGGAACACAGTGAAGACGGTCATCATCAAGTGGAGAAAATATGGCACAACAGTGACATTACCAAGAACTAGACGTCCCTCCAAAATTGATGAAAAGACGAGAAGAAAACTGGTCTGGGAGGCTGCCAAGAGGCCTACAGCAACATTAAAGGAGCTGCAGGAATATCTGGCAAGTACTGGCTGTGTGATACATGTGACAACAATCTCTTGTATTCTTCATATGTCTGGGCTGTGGGGTAGAGTGGCAAGATGGAAGCCTTTTCTTACGAAGAAAAACATCCAAGCCTGGTTAAATTTTGTAAAAACACATCTGAAGTCTCCCAAAAGCATGTGGGAAAATGTGTTCTGGTCTGATGAAACCAAGGTTGAACTTTTTGGCCATAATTCCAAAAGATATGTTTGGTGCAAAAACAACACTGCACATCACCAAAAGAACACCATACCCACAGTGAAGCATGGTGGTGACAGGATCATGCTTTGGGGCTGGAACTGGGGTCTTAGTCAGGGTAGAGGGAGTTATGAACAGTTCCAAATACCAGTCAATATTGGCACAAAACTTTCAGGCTTCTGCTAGAAAGCTGAACATGAAGAGGAACTTCATCTTTCAGCATGACAACAACCCAAAGCATACATCTAAATCAACAAAGGAATGGCTTCATCAGAAAAGATTAAAGTTGGAATGGCCCAGCCAGAGCCCAGACCTGAATCAGATCAAAAATCTGTGGAGTGATCTGGAGAAGGCTGTGCACAGGAGATGCCCTCGCAATCTGACAGATTTGGAGTGTTTTTGCAAGGAAGAGTGGGCAATATTGCCAAGTCAAGATGTGCCATGCTGATAGACTCATACCCAAAAAGACTGACTGCTGGAATAAAATCAAAAAGGTGCTTCAACAAAGTATTAGTTTAAGGGTGTGCACACTCATGCAACCATATTATTTTAGTTTTTTTATTTTTACTTCCCTCCACCTAAAAGATTTCAGTTTGTTGTTCAACTGAGTTGTACAGTTTATAGGTTACATTAAAGGTGGAAAAAGTTCTGAAATGATTTATCTTTGTCTCATTTTATTACATCACAGAAACCTGACATTTTAACAGGGGTGTGTAGACTTTTTATATCCACTGTAAATGAGGTCATACACCCTATTCCATCCTGGTTTAAATTCTTTATTTTCATAGCAATTCAGAACTCACCTGTACACATTCCTCCAAATCCATCTTCTCTAGCTCATGGCAATTCTATAGAGTGGACAATATTAAAACAGAGTTAATGAACACAAATTTAGCTAACAAAATGTAGAAAAGGCCATATTCAATTAATAATTAATATATCACTTGTAAAGTCACAGGGGAAAATGAAATGTGCCAGTGTTTCCCATCATTTCTAAGAGCTCTTAGGACTATTGCCTGTAACAACCAAGCAAATATTAGCTTTCATAACTATGGCCATCATTTTTGCAAATATTATAAAGTGGTTCTAAAGCCCAAATATGTTTTTTTTTTACCTTAATACATTTCCTGCATTAAGGCAGAAATGTTTAGGTAGTAATATAGCCCCCTCATGCCTCCTTATACTAACCTGAACTCTCACCCAATCCAGAACTGTTCCTGTTCGTAATGGCTCTCCCCACTCTCATAGGCTTTGCTGAGGCTTGCAATGGCTCCTACAGCTGTCAATCAAATCATGTGATGAAGCAGTGGGTGGGGCCAAGACACACTGGGGTTGATTTACTAAAGGCAAAATACACCTTGCACTTTGCAGTTGCCTCTGCAAGAGCAGTTACTCCAGAGCTTAGTAAATGAGGTACAGCTTCACTTTTCAAAGAATACCCAATCACGTGCAGAGAAAATAAAAAATAAAAAAAAAGCATTTTTGCTTGCATGTGATTGGATGATGGAGGTCAGCAAAGCATCTGCTCATTTACTAAGCTCTGGAGCCAGTGGGTTCTTGCCCTCTCACCACTTTGTATAACACATATCAAAGTTCCAGCGCCTTTTGGATGCTTTTTTTTTTTTTTTTTTTTTTTAATTAGAACAGTGCAAATAACCGAAGCAAATGTGCACTGCTTGTCCAAAAACAAACAAAAAAAAAGGGGTGGGTGGGTAAGGAGAGGTTTGGGATCCCACAGAGGACGTTAACAAGGAGGCAGAAACACAGTAAGGAACAATTTCATGAATAGATTACAGAGCCATTAACCTCTTGCCCCCCTTACCCCCCTTCCTGACCAGGCCATTTTTGCGATATGGAGCTGCGTTATTTAACTGACAAATACGCGGTCATGCAACGCTGCACCCAAATTAAATTTATGTTCTTTTTTTTTCCCATAAAAAGAAGAGCTTTCTTTCTGTGGTATTTGATCACCTGTGCGTTTTTTTTTTTTTTTTTTTTTGTGCTATAAACAAAAAAAGAGCAACAATTTTGAAAAAAAAAAAAAAACAAAATTTTTTACTTTTTGCTATAAAACATATCCAGTAAAAAAAAAAAAAAAAAACAAAATTTTGTCATAAATTTAAGCCAAAATGTAGTCTGCTACATGTCTTTCCTAAAAAAAAAATCCCAATACATGTAAATTAATTGGTTTACTGGAAAGGTGTAGTGTCTACGAATGGCGGTATATATACTGGAAAATTTTTATTTTTTTTTATACTAGTAATGACGGCGATCAGCGACTTAAAGCGGGACTGCAGCAGGCATTCTGACACTGGGGGGGATTAACTGCCACTGACATCTTAATGACACTAATACAGTTATCAGTGCTAATAAAAAGCACTGAGATTGTACTAATGACACTGGGCAGGAAGGGGTTAACATCTGGGGCGATCAAAGGGTTAACTGTGTGCGGTTTTACTGTGTGTCTGTTTTACTAGAGAAACACACTGCTGTGTATTTCTCTGCTGTGCAGAGAAATACACAGCAGCATGTTATTGCTGGCAGGAGAGAGACCTGTGTTGTTTACACACAGGTCTCTCTCCTGTCAGTGATACCCGGTGATCGCCAGGTGCTGGTGGGGAATCTCTGGCCGGGACCCAGTGATCGAAATCAGTAGCTGGCGGTGCGTGCGCCCCCCTACCCGGAATATACAAAATATATATACACACACGTGATTTTCCGCAGCCCTGCCGCCCTGTAGCAGTAGTTTTGCTATAGGGCAGTTGGGAAGCAGTTACGTAGTGGATGAAGTTGAAGGATATTTGGAGAATAAAGCCTAGTACACATGGGCCGAATGACGGACGGTTCAATAGAATCCATCTGATATTCAGCCCACGTGTACAGCAGCCAGTCCAACACAGCATGACCGAAAAAGGTCTGCCGATCAGCACTCACAGACAATGGCTAAGAGTGCCAACTGGAATGTTCTAGCAGGGGGTCGTTCCCCCTGTCAGAACACATAAGCACAGCAGGGGAGATTGCTGTACTAACACTGGATAGTAAGTACAGCGTCTCCTCCTGAGTTGTCAGGTTTTTTTTTTTTTTGGTTCAGCCTGCTGGGCTAAACAAAAAAAAACTAGTAGTGTGTACTAGGCTTAAGGATATTGTGTAGTGTCACTTTAAGCCCTAGGTTTTCATCCACCATAGTAGATCTATTGCTGCAGATATGCAAATACTTTAGATTAGGTGTCTCCTTTCCCCATCCTCCCACATTAAGCCATTTTAAAAAATAAAAACATTCAGCAAAATGGAGCAAACACAAATGCAACCCGCCTTACTTTAGCCAGAGTGGTAAATCCTAAATCTGTCAACTGTGAACATCGAGCTACTTCAAGAATTCTGAAAGAAATAAGTGGAAAACAAAATGTACAGTTACGACTTCTCAAATAATATTCTTTAAGATATACACAAGTAAAAAAAGGGCCTGGTCACCTTAATTAGATATATTTCTTTTGACAAGGCACTGACAGGTTGTATTATTTGCTAAAAAAAAAAAAAAAAAAAAGCCTGTCCAGCAGGAAAAAAGACTTTTGGATATTTTACACTTTTACAACTCAGGCCTGTAAGTGAATACTTAGCCCCTTTGCCTTTGTTGACTTGAAATCTGGCAAAGGCTTGAGACTTTGGATCACCTAATGGAGAGGAAGTAGATCTACTCTTTTATCATGAATGTGGTGCATCCAGGAGTCACCCTCTACCTGTATTTGAAATGTATATAGACATTGGTGTCTAGAATATGTGAATTACTTTTCTCTGCTACTGTATTGATTACACAGGATTAGAGAGATGTGTAATACCTTTAAGGAGATTGGTTCTACCCATTTGTGTAAAATTATATATAACCTCATTTGTTACCTGAGTCGGGGGCAGTTCTGTCCCAGTGCATTAAGAATAGAGTCTGTGATGTTGGAACAGCCAGAGGCGCACAGAGACTGCAGCTTGTGACATCCACGGCAAATTGTGATGAGTCCATCATCAGTTATCTGCTGCTGGAACAGAATGAATATCAAAAAGTACAAGGCAAGCTGCAGACATGTAAGATGAACAAAGGCTGCTAGACATACTCAAGAACTAAAATGCCACAGTCTGTCCACATTATCTTTTTTCCCCACTGATAAAACACTGAATAATTAAAGTCAATTTACATGGTTTGAAGAAAAAAAAAAAAAAAAACTATATTTTTTCATAAAAGAACTAATCAGACACTTAAATTAACTTAGAAAAATGTCAACTGAAATCTGGGCTTAGGTGACATATTCCGCCTGCCTCTCTTCCTCAGCCACCGGAAGCTTTGTATTCATTCATAAAAACACAACGATCCCCATGAATGGCTGAGCAGCGCTCAGCCTGACTATTTAGTACTGTGAATGTGACAGGAAGCCCCCATCCCACTGCCATAAAACAGCACAGTATACTGAATGTAGCTGGGCCTACATACAGTGAATACAGCACACCCAACAAGTGCACCTGGTAGTGTAGTAAACAGTTCTTTTGGGCCAGCTTAATAACATAAAATGGGGAGATAGGCTTTAAGGTGAAAGGAGAAGACCACTTTGGGCAGAAAGGAAGCCTTAGGTCCCAGGACAACCTTATCGCTGTACAAAACCAGGAAAGATTCTTTACAAGACAATGTTCCCAACTCCAATACTTGCCCAGAAGAGGTGATGGCAACAAAAAAAAAAAAAAAAAACACCTTGTGAGTGGGCTCAGCTAAGGAAATATCCCAGGCAGGATTGATGAGAGGCTTTTGAAGAACCATAAGTGCCACTATGAGATCTGAAAGAGTCACTGGAGAGTGTCTAGGAGGAACTAAATAAGCAACTTTCTGTGCAAAGGCCTCCACCAGGGATGGAGAGGCTAAAGTACACTAGAAGAGGATAGCCAAGGCCAAAATTTATCCATTGAGGGTACTATTTTGCACCATGCAAAATAAGTCTTCCATATGCAATGATAAATTTATCAAGAAGCCAACTTTCTAACATAGAAAAGTGTCAGGATGACCAAATCTGATAAGCCTCTGTCCCTCATAAAAGTCAGCGAATGAGAAGCAGGATGGCAGATCAGGCATTAAGACAGAAGGTCTATGCCAGTGGTGGCTAACCTATGGCATGGGTGCCGCAGCGGGAACGCAGAGCCCTCTCTGTTGGTACGCGAGCCAAGTCACCATAGAAAAAAGGGGATAATTAACGAGCGCTTGGAGATGCGTAACAAGCAGCTGGCATGAAAGGCACAAACTTCAAACCTTCACACTAAAATAATAATACATGCAGCGCTAAAATAAGAAACCTGCTACAACATAAAGAAACATGTGTAATAGACTACTAGTGCTTAGTAGTGATTTATAAGTGTCCTCATAGCATATATGCAGTAGTCCCAATAAACTTGTGCAAGACGTGATGAACTCCGTGCTGTGAAGTGTTTAATAATATGCACTCACCAGAAAAGCGCATAAAATGCGCATTTGAGTTGTCAGACCACTCCTGGTCCCAGAAAGGTTGCACCTATATGGATCATCTGGCAAGCTGTCACTCTGTCACTCCTTAACCAGCAGGGGGACTCCCGACATCCAAAGGACCCCACAGAGATAATCCAGGCTTATACCCAGGGCACTTTCATGCAGTATCCACCTTGAGAGAGGGGGGCTTGACCAAGAAGCCCACCCCAAAGAACACTGATAGTGTAGTATGTTCCAACCAATAGTTCTTTATTAAAGATATAGTATACAGAGTAACTCACAGAGTATCCAGATATAAAGATGGCCGCCGGCCTCCACGAGGTACGGAACGGCGTGACGTCACCGGCTAGGCTCCACCCTTGCCGGTGACGTCACGCCGTTCCGTACCTCGTGGAGGCCGGCGGCCATCTTTATATCTGGATACTCTGTGAGTTACTCTGTATACTATATCTTTAATAAAGAACTATTGGTTGGAACATACTACACTATCAGTGTTCTTTGGGGTGGGCTTCTTGGTCAAGCCCCCCCTCTCTCAAGGTGGATACTGCATGAAAGTGCCCTGGGTATAAGCCTGGATTATCTCTGTGGGGTCCTTTGGATGTCGGGAGTCCCCCTGCTGGTTAAGGAGTGACAGAGTGACAGCTTGCCAGATGATCCATATAGGTGCAACCTTTCTGGGACCAGGAGTGGTCTGACATCTCAAATGCGCATTTTATGCGCTTTCTGGTGAGTGCATATTATTAAACAAGTCACCATAGCATCATCCCAGCAGGTGAGCATCGGATAACAGTGCACACAGGGGCCATGTGCATGCTCTGAAAGGAGTCACGGTGCCAGGCGATGATGTCATGAGCCATGACTCATTAGGTGCGACTCCTCCAAGCTTTTACATGGCCGCTCAGTGCGCTGCCAAGATTTTAGCTTGTGCTGGTGGTCAGTGAAACTTTGCCCTCTTGTGCTGGTGGTCAGTGGAACTATGCCCCCTTGTGCTGGTGGTCAGTGGAACTTTGCCCCCTTGTGTCGGTGGTCAGTGGAAGCTCTGTTATTGTGTTTTTCTTTTAAGACAAAGGATGTTAATGTATGTTTTTTCTAAATTAAAACCTCAATATTCAGGTTTAATTGAAGAGTTGGCACTTTGCAATAAGTAAGTAGGTTTTGGGTTGCAGCTTGGGCACTCGATCTCTAAAACGTTCGCCATCACTGGTCTATACAATCCAGAAGAGGCCAAGGGGAGTTTGTCAGAAGTCAGAATATGTCAGAGTACTAAACCCTCCTGTGCCAGTTTGTTGCCATAAGAATCACTGGAATGCTCTCCGACTCAATCCTTTGGAGCAATTGTAGAAGGAGCTTCATGGGAGGAAAAATGCAAATCTGATCCCACAAAGTCACCAGCGCTTCTACTGTAAAAACGTGAGGATCCCTGGACCTGGCTGTGAATCTGTTCAGTTTGTTGTTGAACCTGGGTGCTAACAGATCCACATTCAGTGTCCCCACCAGCATCAAAGATCCTGTTAAACCTCCAAGTGAAGGAACATTCACCGTGATTCATATGCTGATAGCTGAGGAAGTCAGACACTTTTCCATGCCTGGAATGTGCAATGTGGTCAGGGATGGAACATGGTGCTCTGTCCAGGTAAAAAACCTTTCTATTCCCTTTTCGACTGTTCAACTTCTTGAGTCTCCTTGACAGTTGATATAGGCAGCGTCCATGCCATTGTCTGAATGAACACACATCAAAAGTCCCCAAAGTGGAGATGTCAATTGTTCGGGGGACAGCCAAAGGATCTGAGCACCAAAATGATTAATGTAAGTTTGGATTCCTGTGCCAACCAGGTCCCTTAAACGTTCAACCCTACAAGGACCGAACCCCCCCCCCCCCCCCCCCCACACACACACATACACACACAATCCTGACAGACCGGCATCCGTGTTCAGACTCTCCCAAGTCATTGAGAGGAATGGTTTCTCTGACTCCAGTGCCAGATAGGAAGTATACCAAGTCAAGGGGAAGTGGGCAGAGGGAGACAGGTGTATGACCCACTTAGACAGAATGTGAAGCTGCAGTGGCCTGGAGTGGAACTGGCCATAAGGTACTGCCTCAAATTAATATACCATTAGACCCAGTACCCTCAGGTACTGAGGGGGTGATATCTGGATAGGGTTAAAAATGTGGGGTCATGATCTTTTCCGAAAAATAAAAAGAAGACCTGGGATTGGAATATGTTCAGGATCAGTCCCAAGTATTCCAAGACTGTAAAAGCTGGATCCAGTGCAGACTTCTGAGGTTTTAGAATCCACCCAAAATTCTGCACAGTCAGGTGCATGTTGGTATTCAAAGCCTAGATGGAATGAGCTTTGAGCAGGTCGTCCAGGTAGCCCACATTGTGGACATCTTGAGAGAGAAGAGGAGGCAGAACAGGGGCCTAGACTTTTGTGAAGGCCTGAAGAGAGTTGATAGGCCAAATGGCAGGGCCACAACCTGGAAAGGACAGTCTCCCACCCACGAAATCAAAAAAACAAAACAAAACAAAAAAAAATCCACATTGCCTCAAATCCACATGTATGAGGAAACCGATAGATGTACCCAAACTTGAAGAAGCGGGGTTGCTTCATCACTGAGAGGGGGGCTTGAAGCCATGCTTAGCCAGCTTGGGAGTCCAGGGTTTGCAGCAAAAGGAGGTGCTGGGCTTAGACTTGGAGGAAGGAGTATGGAAGGGATGAAAAACTCTTTCTAAACCCAGGAGAGAAGAACTTGTTCATAAGAGTATTAACTTTATTTTTGCTAGGCAAAAGCATGCTCTTTCCACCAGTGACTTCCTTAATAAACAGTCTAGATCAGTGATGGCGAACCTTTTTGAGCCCGAGTGCCCAAACTGCAACCCAAAACCAACTTATTTCTTTCAAAGTGCCAACACTGCAATGAAACCTGAATATCGAGCTTTTGGTTTAGAAAAAAAACAACTCGTACAGTAGTGCAAACTAATTAACAGTACAGGGATGACCAGAGACTGCGGACACAGTACAGGGATGACCAGAGACTGCGGACACAGTACAGGGATGACCAGAGACTGCGGACACAGTACAGGAGATGACCAGAGACTGCGGACAGTACAGGGATGACCAGAGACTGCGGACAGTACAGGGATGACCAGAGACTGCGGACACAGTACAGGGATGACCAGAGACTGCGGACACAGTACAGGGATGACCAGAGACTGCGGACACAGTACAGGGATGACCAGAGACTGCGGACACAGTACAGGGATGCCCAGAGACTGCGGACACAGTACAGGGATGCCCAGAGACTGCGGACACAGTACAGGGATGCCCAGAGACTGCGGACAGTACAGGGATGACCAGAGACTGCGGACAGTACAGGAGATGACCAGAGACTGCGGACAGTACAGGAGATGACCAGAGACTGCGAACAGTACAGAAGATGACCAGAGACTGCGGACAGTACAGGAGATGACCAGAGACTGCGGACAGTACAGGAGATGACCAGAGACTGCGGACAGTACAGGGATGACCAGAGACTGCGGACACAGTACAGGGATGACCAGAGACTGCGGACAGTACAGGGATGACCAGAGACTGCGGACACAGTACAGGAGATGACCAGAGACTGCGGACACAGTACAGGGATGACCAGTGACTGCGGACAGTACAGGGATGACCAGAGACTGCGGAAAGTACAGGAGATGACCAGAGACTGCGGACAGTACAGGGATGACCAGAGACTGCGGACACAGTACAGGAGATGACCAGAGACTGCGGACACAGTACAGGGATGACCAGTGACTGCGGACAGTACAGGGATGACCAGAGACTGCGGAAAGTACAGGAGATGACCAGAGACTGCGGACAGTGCAGGAGATGACCAGAGACTGCGGACACAGTACAGGAGATGACCAGAGACTGCGGACACAGTACAGGAGATGACCAGAGACTGCGGACACAGTACAGGAGATGACCAGAGACTGCGAACAGTACAGAAGATGACCAGAGACTGCGAACAGTACAGAAGATGACCAGAGACTGCGGACAGTACAGGAGATGACCAGAGACTGCGGACAGTACAGGAGATGACCAGAGACTGCGGACAGTACAGGGATGACCAGAGACTGCGGACACAGTACAGGGATGACCAGAGACTGCGGAAAGTACAGGAGATGACCAGAGACTGCGGAAAGTACAGGAGATGACCAGAGACTGCGGACAGTACAGGAGATGACCAGAGACTGCGGACAGTACAGGAGATGACCAGAGACTGCGGACACAGTACAGGAGATGACCAGAGACTGCGGACACAGTACAGGAGATGACCAGAGACTGCGAACAGTACAGAAGATGACCAGAGACTGCGGACAGTACAGGAGATGACCAGAGACTGCGGACAGTACAGGGATGACCAGAGACTGCGGACACAGTACAAGGGATGACCAGAGACTGCGGACAGTACAGGGATGACCAGAGACTGCGGACACAGTACAGGAGATGACCAGAGACTGCGGACACAGTACAGGGATGACCAGAGACTGCGGACACAGTACAGGGATGACCAGAGACTGCGGGACACAGTACAGGAGATGACCAGAGACTGCAGACACAGTACAGGGATGACCAGAGACTGCGGACACAGTACAGGGATGACCAGAGACTGCGGACACAGTACAGGGATGACCAGAGACTGCGGACACAGTACAGAAGAGATGACCAGAGACTGTGGACAGCACAGGGATGACCAGAGACTGCGGACACAGTACAGGGATGACCAGAGACTGCGGACAGCACAGGAGATGACCAGAGACTGCGGACAGCACAGGGATGACCAGAGACTGCGGACAGACAGGGATGACCAGAGACTGCGGACAGTACAGGGGATGACCAAAGACTGCGGACAGCACAGGGATGACCAGAGACTGCGGACAGCACAGGGATGACCAGAGACTGCGGACAGTACAGGGATGACCAGAGACTGCGGACAGCACAGGGATGACCAGAGACTGCGGACAGCACAGGGATGACCAGAGACTGCGGACAGTACAGGAGATGACCAGAGACTGCGGACAGCACAGGGATGACCAGAGACTGCGGACAGCACAGGGATGACCAGAGACTGCGGACAGCACAGGGATGACCAGAGACTGCGGACAGCACAGGGATGACCAGAGACTGCGGACAGCACAGGGAGATGAACCAGAGACTGCGGACAGCACAGGGATCCCATGAGGATGCTGACCTTTGGGGAGGGAGGGGGAGCGGGTACCTGAATTTGACAGGTACCCGCTCTTACTTCCGCAGAGTTTTTTTTTTTTATCTTACCTGTTCCTTTATCCAGCCGCGCGTTGTCTTCCCGGCTTCTGTAGTGTGGGCGGACAGCCGGATGCCCAGTGCGCATGCGCGAGAGCGCTGCGCTTTGTGATTGGTCCGGCGGCTTCTGGGATCTGTCATGTGTCCCAGGTACCGCCTTACCATTCACAAGAGCACTGCTTCTTGTGCATGCGCACTTGGGACCCGGCTGTCACGCACACTACAGCCGGGAAGACAGCGCGCCGCTGGATTCTCCTGGCTAGGTGCCCACAGATAAGGCTCGGCGTGTGTCGGCTGTGGCACGCGTGCCACGGGTTCGCCATCACTGGTCTAGATGCTCATTAAAGAGATGTCAACAGGGGGGGCGTGTCCAAGATGGCGACCGGAGCGGCCGCATGATCCGGAGCTCCGGTGCCGAGCTTCAAAAATCCGCTGCCTTCCGAGCGGCGGCAGATCACAGAGTGACAGCGGAGGACCCGGGTAGTATCCCCGATCCCGGGGAAAGCCGGACCAGGTGATATTTCCGCCCCTCGTGGCGGCTGACGTCCGCGGCCTGGTGCGACCCGACCGCGTGTGGGCCGGGGCTCCGGCGCCACCCATCAGTTCTCCCGTCCATACCTGCTGCCATCCGGGCTGTGGGAGATCGCCTGGAGATATCCGCGGCGCCCTCTGCACTGCTGGACTGCTGGGGATGGGGTGAGTGACGCGCTGGGTTTTGCTGCTTCCCGGGGCGGCGGTGGCATCTGCGACCTTCATCATCAGTCAGGAGCCTTCTTCATCTGGTCGCAGTGAGTAGGGGTGTCGGGTGCCCTCCTTTCATTAGCTCACCCCCCACTGTATGACTTGAGGGGGGAGTGGGCCTCACGCTGCTGACCCCGGAGCCTGCTGTCTTCCGTGACCACAGCCCCCTGTTGGGCTCACAGGCCTACTGGGGGGCCTTAGATACTGCCCGTGGGGTGTCTCCCTGGAGGGCACTGTGCTCGGTGCTGGAGGTCCTCTGCTTCCCATTTGTCCCTCTTGTGTGTCCTAAGTTGGGAGCTGGTGCCATCATCCTGCTCCGGATCTGTGATATCTCTGCCGGTTGCTACGATCTATGTCATCTCTACCTTTCCATGGCTTGTTAAATATTTTTACAATATAATGTCCTTGCAGACGGATCTAACCGCATTCATGTAACTACAACCCTAAACCTATTTTGGGCGATATAGGTCCCCTGGGGTTATAATCTCCATTCATTATCCTACTTTAAGTTGATCACCCCCAAGAGACTCCTGTATGCCGTCCACAAAGAAAAAAAAGGGACAAGCCCAGAAGTCCCTCACTACATACCTACTTAAGGCACACGAGCTTTGTAACATGTCTCCAGTTAATACAGAGCGAGCATCCCTGTCCGATCCCACACAGGATAGCACAGCTCCTTTATCGACCTTGGTCAATGAAAATACACAGCAACTTACAAAAGGAGACTTGGAGTCCCTGCTTGGAAACCATGTACGCCAAACTGGCTGCCAAATTTCAATCAGGAATTACATAAAAAACTACTAATGTTCTCTCTCAGGAATTAGCCACGCTGGGCTCCAGGACAGACCGCTTAGAAACCAAACACGATGAACTTAGCCTGGCCTTATGGTGAACTTTCCAGAGAGCATGATCATTTTACAAACAGCCTTTTTTTCAACTACAGGCGCAGGTTGAGGACCTTGATAATCGCCAATCGCAGGAAATAATCTGCGAATCAGGGGAATCCCGAGTCTGTGTCAGACCTCTCCTTAACCGTGACCAAATTATTTCAATCAATCCCTCCGGATCGTGACCCTGGGTCTTTTGCCTGTGACCGCATCCATAGAGCCCTGCGCCCCTAAACCTCCTACTGACAAGCCGCCTAGGGATATTGTCCTATGCATGAGAGACTTTTATGACCAAAGAGAAGAAATACTCCGAGCTGCTCGCACAATACCCCAATGATCTCCTTTGAAGGCGTCGGTCTTACAAATCTTTCCAGATGTTTCCCCGGCCACGTTGGAGAAGCGTAGAAAAATGAAAGAAGTCACAACGGTCCTGTTCTCAGCTCGTATCCGCTACAAATGGGGCTTTCCCTTTAAGTTGATAGTTCCACATAATGGGAGCACATAATTAGCATACATCCCCTTCTGAAGGTAGAGCAATCTTGGCCAAATTAGGCCTAGCAGATACCCCATCACCTCAACGTCCACCCTCCACTCCTCGTATCTCTCCCCCTTTGGCATACCCCATCTCCACGGAGAGATAGACGGAGAGTCAGACAGGATCCGGGCTGACAGGTCCATTCCCATTTGCTTTTACCTATTGTTTGACAGTCCATTGGTCTTGCCTATTGTCTTTGATGACTTTACCACGAATTGGGACACAGGGATTTTGCTCTTTATATCTTACGTTGTCAGGATGTGTATTTCTATGGTTACTGCTATGTTAATTTTATCATATTCTGAGTATTATGTGTGCCTTGCATTGATAGCTGGACGAGTTAAGGTATAACAAGGGTCTTCGGTCCCTCTTAATTACGCCCCATTGGTTTATGGTTTTACAACTCTTCGACACGTTACCCCACCCTGCCTCCTGACATGGCCCGGTGGTGTCGCCGCCCGATCGTGGGGTGGGGCGGTTCTGTTTTCCATGTTTTAGGGAGACAGGGTCTGGGCCCATTTGGCCCCTTAATATATTGAACTTTTGTTTTATCAGGTATGACAAATTTTCAGCCTGATCCATGTTCTTCAGTTACCCTCTTCATTGTAGGAGCTGTTCAAACCTCCTCTCTATTGTTTTTTGTCTTTTTTTTTTCTAAAAAACTTTAGTGCATGAGGATGGTGTTGTGTCGGTCTGTGGACGTCATGGCCAACCCATGTTGGGGAAGGGGGGGTCCCCTGGGCTGGCTTCTGCCACCTGTACGTCTGTCTGCTGTAGACCTGCGGATTTCTATATCTAGCCAATTACTTTTAAAGGGATATCCCTGCTGTGTGTACTTTTATGATGATAGTAACAAGCTCTGTTTTGCTATGGTAATTCAATGTTATTTCGCATAATGTCCAGGGTTTCAATTCGCCCAAACAAGCGCAAAACAGCCTTTCTTCAATATAAACGACTGGGAGCCAAGATTATCTTATTACAGGAGAACACATTTTGCAGCAGCTGCAAAACATCCTGACATATTTTCATAGATCTTATAGGCAGGGGTATTATACCCTGCATTCCTCCAAGAGTAGGGGGAAGTGGCCATCTTTCTGCATAACTCATTCCCTTTTGAGGTTCAACATTGTGTATCGTGATCCTGACAGTAGATTTATCATTCTTAAAGGCACCCTTTCAGGTCGAGAGAACTTACTATTGCTAATTTGTCTATGCACCGAACTTCAGCACAAGCTACCTTTTTTTTCTAAATTTTTTTTTGGTGCTCTGGATAGGTTTTTTGTCCCCCCCATCTATTGGTGGGTGGGGATTTTATAATTTGGTGGCAAATCCTCTTTTGGACCGTAGTTCCCCCTCGCACTCTTCCCCCAGGCTTTCCCAAATACACTTACTAAGAAACTAGATGCCCTCCAGTTGGTGGATGCTGGAGAGCGCATAACACCGGAGCCAGGGATTAACATTTTATTCCCACACCACATGACTCTTATGCCTAGATTAGAACCTCTCTATATATATTGTACACCCTGATTTTACTAGCTAATTCTTGGGTAGCTTGACCATTCATTTGAGCCCTGGTCGGATTCATAGTATTATGGCTTTATCTATCACGTTTGTGGGATTGGCACCTACTCCCTTCTCTCTTGGAGACTTAATGACTCTATGCTAACTGATATTGACTCTCGTCAGGAGGTGGTTACATCTCCTTCAGGAATATTTTCAATCTTATTCAACCCCCCTGGATATTTCCCCAGCCACACTCTGGGTAGCTCAACAAGGACCGGTCCTACGAGGCCGTCATTACTTCTCCATGGCCTCATCCAGAAATAGAAAACGTTGGCAGCAAATACTACTTTCTAACCCGAGAATTAGAAGCACCACTATAGAGCCATGTCGCCAATCCATCTCTACTTAATAAACTGCTACTGTCCCAAAAGCGCTTGGAACTGAATACCCTGCTTTCCCAAAACACTGAAAAGGCTCTTCGCTGGTCGAAGGCCTCATTCCTATTACATAGTAACTCGGCATCTTACCATGTTCGCAAGGAAGTTGAACCACTCTCTCTGCTGGAGCCCCCCACACGTGTATAAATTACGCACAAACTCGGGCACTTCTCATCTCTACCTCAGGAGGTCTTGGGTAGTATTTTTCGAAAATTTTTATTCTAAACTACTAGCTCCTCCGCAGTCAGATTCTGTTCCTTCTGTCAGACTCATGGCTGGAACTCTATACCCCTCCCTTGCCATTACACCCTCTCAGATTGTCTGCTCTCTTAATGCAACCCCTGTACTTTAGAGGAAATTAACACGTACGATAAGCACGCTTAAACGAGCTCTACTGCACCGGGTCCTGACGGATTTTACCGCTAGCTATTATAATACATTTTCCCTGTACGTTGGCTCCATACTTGATAACTTTTGTTTAATGATGTTTTGCAGGGGGGTAGGTTCCCTGAGGAGATGTTGTTGGCTAACATGTCTTTAATACACCAAGCCACAGAAAAAGACCACTGTTTGCCACAAAAAACTATAGACCAATCTCGGTCATGAATAATGATCTAAAGATATTTAGCCGTATTTTGGCGGACCGGTTGGCCCCTATCATCTCCTCTTTGGTTTCTCCAGACCAGTCGGGTTTTATTCCCGACAGATTTATTACTGATAAACATTCGTCTCACTCTACAATGTTATTCAAGACGCCAATTTTACATTCCAAAGAGGTTCTGTTGATGAGTTTGGTTATAAACCAAGGCCTTTGATAGTGTTCTTTGGCCCTACTTGTTTTCCTTGCTACAGAAAATGGGCTTCAATGATGGGTTTTTGGCAGGCATACATGCCCTGTACGACTCTCCTAAAACAAGAATTAGGCTTCCTGGCTGTAAACTCTGAATTCTTTACATTGGGTAGAGGTACCCGCCAGGGCTGTCCTCTTTCACCCCTTTTATTTGCGCTGGTGTTGGAACCCTTGGCATTGGTGATTAAGTCACATTCGGATATTTCTGGGCTATTCATTATTAGTTTCACATTTTTTAAGCTGAGCATGTATGCTGATGATGTTATGCTTTTTATTACTAAAACCCGTTGATTCTTTACCTAACTTGTGTGCTGTATTGAACGATTTTGCCAAAGTGTCAGGTCTCACCGTTAATTTTACCAAATCTGTGATCATGCCTATCAATGTTCCTGACTCCCTAAGTGTATCTCTCCGTAGTTCTTTCCCATTTCGCTGGGTCAAGGACAGGATTTCCTATCTGGGGATTAACCTCACTCCCAGATATTCGGATATATTTGCAGCTAATTATCCACCATGTGTATCGCGTCTCTCTACTCTACTGAAGATCTGGCACGGTTATCATATCTCCTTTCTGGGTAGAGTCACGGCGGTTAAAATGAATATTTTGCCCAAATTACTTTATCTTTTTAGAGCACTTCCAGTTCCCGGTCTCAAAAACGTTTTTGGATCACTTTCAGCGGACTATTAACAATTTTATTTGGGGAAATAAGCATCCACGTTTTGCCTCATCCATTTTTGTATCGCTCACAAACGGACGGGAGGTCTCGGTCTTCCTAACTTTTGGTTATATTACCTCTCGGCTCGTTTTGCGCAATTATCACAATGGGCTACTATTAACTCTCAAATCCCATGGATAAAGTTTGAGCCTCAGTCGATACGTCCTTTTATTTACCGGGAATTTTATGGTCTAACATCTCCCCCCGATCGATTGTTTTTCGTAACTCCATAGTGACCCATTCACTGACGCTTTGGTCCAAACACAAATCTAAATTGGGTTTAGTCTCTCCTATTCCCCAGGTGTGTCATTTTTTGGTGATCCTACTTTTGTTGTAGCCTTTTCTACCCCCCACATGTTTCGTTGGTGGTATGATCGATCTTTTATCAGATTATCTGATTTCCAAAGAGGAGGATCTTACATTACCTTTGATATGCTGCGCGTGTTGTTTGATGTTCCTCCTCTTCGTGAGTACCTTCGCTATAGACAGATTAGGCACTTTTTTCATGCGCACTTTGGCCTTACCCCATCCTCTCCGATTTCCTTTTTTGAACGTATCAGCCGTGATTCTCCCAGGGGTAAGGGTCTTATCTCAGATCTTTATCACCAATTTTTGATCTGTCTTTTTCATACTCCCCCCTTTGTACAGACGAAAATGGGAGGAGGATTGTGGCATCAACTTTTTCAGATGAGGATTGGGATTCCATGGTGGATAATATATGCAAAAGCTCTAGATCTTCTTTCTGTTCGTGAGACGGCCTTAAAGTTCTAAACCAGATGGTATTATACCCCGTCAAGACTACATGTATTGTTTCCACAAACGTCCCCTCTATGTTTTCGTGGCTGCGGACTGCACAGGTACTTTGGTTCATATATTTTGGGATTGCCCGACTAATATCCTTGATCTGGCGTAGGGATTTCTGAGGTGGCTGCCTCACTGTCGGGTACCCCGATACGATTGTCCATGCAGACCTGTTTATTGGGGGCCCATATCCCAGGGGTCTCTGATGCCAATCTGAGATTGATACATACATTATGTATTGCCACTTTATGGTCTATTGCCCTACATTGGAGGTCCAATGTTGTTACCCTTGGACTCCGTTTTACACAGAATTGATGCTGTAATGCTTATGGAACGCATTCATTATACCCTACTAGATAAGATGCACTTATACGATAAAAAATGGAAGTCTTGGAGAGATTGCAGAGACACTTATTGCATGCTTAATAACATCACATCCCAGTAGGGGTTGGCTAGCATATACTGTTGACGGATGTATCACTTAACCTACTTTGTCGTTTACGTACTTCATGCACTCGTAACTTCCTCTTTTTTTTCTTATCTTCTTTGTTATGTTAATATACTTTTATGTATTGTACTTTTCAAAAGTGCCTTGTTTTTGCTGACAATATCACTTTTAAAATGAGCTGTTGTTTGCCTGTCTACTCATGTACAATAAAATCGTTTGTAAACAAAAAAAAGAGAATGTCAACAAACAAATGGCATATGCTCCATTTGTTTTGTACATGCTGGTAAGACCAAGTATTAGTCCAAATGAACTATTTAAAGTTATGTCAAACCTGGAGTTAGATTTTAATGGCACAGAAAGCTTTTGGTATTTGAACAATTACCCATTAGTGGCTAATCCCACGTTTTCCACTTTTAAAATTTGCATGGTAGTATGGGGCTCTACAGCTGCATCATTCATTTACATGTGAATGAATGAACTTCAAGTCCTGTCCTTTCCAGTTTTCAATGAAACATGAGTGCAGTAATTACCATGCTCAAAGTCTATGGACGCCTCCTCCAGCTCTCTAACTGAAAGCCCACACCTCAGTGCGGGCAGGAAGCTGGAAAAAGAGTCTGCAGGAACCTGCTTTTTTGATCCACTGATTGCAACTGCAATGCTTTGCAAAAAAAATATAACACATTTTTTCCTGGAAGTATATAATTGCATTTATTATTAATTGTAAAAGGTGGACTTAGGGCTCGTTCACACTTGGCTGTTTTGCCAACGCTTGCCAAACGCCCTTATAGTGCTTGGCAAGCGTTGGTCCGGCGTTTGCGGAGCGTTTTTTAACACTCCGCAAACGCCGCATGCGCGGTTTAGCGACGTTTGCTAGGCGTTTGCCGAGCGTTAATAACGCCCCACAAACGCCTATAATGCAGTTTGAGTGGTGTTACCGCTCCGCAAACTCCCCGCAACCGCGTCGCAACCGCACCGCAAACGCCGGCCGGGCGTTTGCGGAGCGGCACCATAGACGAGAATAGGAGGCTTCAACGCCTCCTGACTCGTCCAGAGGCGTCCGTATTGCCGCGACGCAACGCGACGCAAACGCTCCCGTTAGAACAGCACCATGTGCTGTAATGTGCAGAATTGGCAGAGGCGTTTGGGAAGCGGTAAAAAAACGCTTCCCAAACGCCTCTCTGCCGCCTGCACACAACGCTAGTGTGAACGTAGCCTTAGCCCTTTAAGTTAGCTAGGTGTGTATATTAGGGCCATGTTAAATGTTCTTTTCCAGGTTACACTTCACCAGATAAAACTGAATGAAATACAACTTCTAATTTCACTGGTGGAATACACTCCATTGTTGCCTGAACACTGCTGAAATGAAACTGCAACTGACAGATCCTGTTGGACATCAAAGGGGAGTCTATAGATCAATTTAAAATGAATTTTAGCTATTCTCTTGCTGATGACAGAATTGACTGTCTAATGTGGCCCAAAGTCCTACCAATGTTTGGTAATCAACTAGAACAGTGGTCGGCAAGCCGCGGCTCGCGAGCCACATGCGGCTCTTTACACACTTTAATGCGGCTCTTCTGTGTGCCGGGCGCCCGCTCCCCTCCCTCCTCTCGGCCGGCAGGGCCGCCCCCCAAAAGTCAGGACCTTTTAATCCGGCCCGCGGAGCGTGGCAAACATTGGCTGTCAGGATGTAGGCGGGGCAGCGTGACGAACTCCTCTCCTCTCACAGTCCGCCCTGAAGACCGGAACGGCGCGGGAACACGGCGAGAGGAACGCGCGGAGCAAAGGTAAGTGAATTGACACAATATGGGGAATGAATTACTATATGGGGGGATGAATTACTATATGGGGGATGAATTACTATGGGGAATGAATTACTATGGGGGATGAATTACTATGGGGGATGAATTACTATATGGGGGATTAATTACTATATGGGGGATGAATTACTATATGGGGGATGAATTACTATATGGGGGATGAATTACTATATGGGGGATGATTTACTATATGGGGGATGAATTACTATATGGGGGGTGTATTTTCAGTTTTAAAAATGTGGCTCTCAAAATAAATTTCAATCGTGGTTTTGGCGAGATTTGGCTCAGTTGAAAAAAAAAGGTTGCCCACCACTGAACTAGAAGCATGACAATCAATCATCAGCTATGCTTTGTCTATCCACTGCAAAAAAGCATAAGAAAACAAATATTTTACCATGAACATGCCCCATTTTTAAGGTAAGTGGCAAAATATAATACTTACGGAACACGCCTGTAGATTTAACGTGACAAGTTCTGGACACTGTGATCCAATATATTTAAGCGCCTCATCTTCCAACTAGGAGACATCAATGATGAGAAATCAGCATGTCAATCTCTGTATGTTAGTTACAGATACATTTCTATTGTTATTTTTTTTTAAAGCATTTCTGTTGCTAATGTAAAAAAAAAAATAAAAAATTTAAAGAATTTCCTCTCAATGAAACATATAATAAACAGAACATGTCATCAGTGAAAACCACACATAAAAAAGGTCAGTAGATAAAAGAAATATAGGTTTATAATATAGCTAACTTTATATGTAAATCTCAGGTTTTCCTGTAGGAAAATCAAGCCTTGCCTTGCTCCTTACTGCATTCCTCTGTTAGTCCTTTAAATCAACTAGAAGTCTACTGACCAAGATGGTGGAAAGGGATATGGCAAAATTTAGCTTAAGAGGAAAAGACGATATTTATGCAGAACTTCAGCGGTTTTTTATCTCCAAATCTTAATAAGCAATTTTACATTTCGTTTGTCTATCTTCCAAAGAATTGTTTTGTTTTTTCTCTCATTATATACTCAGTTTGAACTGCATAGATTTTGAGATAGCTTCACCATAAGTTTTAATCGTTTCCTGTACAGGAAGTTTTCTGCACCATTTAAAATCTCCCATATCCCCCCCCCCCCCCTTTTTTTTTGCTTTTTCTGCCTTCACCTTAATAAGAGCACACCTAATCAAGAACCCTTGAAAACCAAAGCCTGCACATACATTGCCCACAAAACAGCCCTGTAACCAAACGGGAAAGTCAAAATATAATGTTGGCAATGTAGTGGAGTTCCACTTGCAGTAACTGAAAAACTGTTGCTCACTTACACCCAAAAATCTTAAGTATTTTAGATTTGCTGAAAAAAAAAAAAAAAAAAAAACTTTGGATAATGATATCACATAAGAGGGAAGGAGGGAACTGAAGATTACAACAAAACATCTTTTTAGGACTATATCACATGGGCAGTTCTATTGCTGGCAACACTTAAGGTTTGCTGAAATTCCACATCCATGATCCTTAGGGCTTGGATACGTGGACAAGTGCAGCTTTCCAGCATGTGCACTCACCTTATACTACCAGACGTATGGGACGCCTGCCTTTACACGTACATGAACTTTAATGGCATCCCAGTCTTAGTCCATTGGGTTCAATATTGAGTTGGCCCACCCTTTGAAGCTACAACAGCTTCAACTCTTCTGGGAAGGCTGTCCACAAGGTTTAGGAGTGTTTCTATAGGAATGTTTGACCATTCTTCCAGAAGTGCATTTGTGAGGTAAGGCACTGATGAGAAGGCCTGGCTAGCAGTCTCCACTCTAATTCATCCCAAAGGGGTTCTATCGGGTTGAGGTCAGGACTCTGTGCAGGCCAGTCATGTTCCTCCACCCAAAACTCGCTCATCCATGTCTTTATGGACCTTGCATTGTGCACTGGTGCGCAGTCAAACTCTTCCCACAAAGTTGGGAGCATGAAATTGTCCAACATGTCTTAAGAGTTCCCTTCACTGAAACGAAGGGGCCAAGCCCAACTCCTGGAAAAACCCCACACCATAATCCCCCCTCCACCAAACTTTACACTTGCAGTCAGTCAAGTACCATTCTCCTGGCAACCGCCAAACCCTGACACGTCCATCAGATTGCTAGACAGAGAAGCGTGATTGGCCACTCCAGAGAACACGTCTTCACTGCTCTAGAGTCCAGTGGCGGCGTGTTTTACACCACTGCATCCGACACTTTGCATTGCACTTGGTGATGTAAGGCTTGGATGCAGCTGCTAAGCACTGCTGTTCTGCTAATCTGAAGGCCACACGAAGTTTAGAGGTCTTTAGCTATTGACTCTGCAGAGAGTTGACAACTTCTGCGCACTGTGCGCTTCTGCATGTGCTGCATGAGGTCATTTTACGTGGCCTACCACTTCATTATGATACCACTAACAGTTGACCGTGGAATATTTAGTAGCAAGGAAATGCCACGGATGGACCTGTTGCACAGGTGGCAACCTATCACGGTACCATGCTTGAATTCACTCAACTCCTGACAGCGAGCCATTCTTTAAAAAATGCTTGTAAAAGCAGTTTGCGTGCCTAGGTGCTTGATTTGCTGTGGCCATGGAGGTGATTGGAACACCTGAATCCAATGATTTGGAGGGGTGTCCCAATACTTTTGACAATATAGTGTATATTGCATTTGGGATTACTTTGAGATGATTCTGTTATTAGAGTTAATTCACAGGAGTTTCTGACTACCTAAGCTGGCTTTTGCATTCCAATTGACTTGCCTAGGAGAATGTGCAGTATAAATGAGTACAACCCAACAGATTCGTCAGAAAAAACTTTACTTTCCTTTCAACATTTTCTATGGGATACTATACTATAAAATACTCCCACAAATGCGGGCCATTGATTGCAAACAAGATTTGTTAATTTGCACACACAAAGTATTTTCCAAACAAACTGTTTCAAGGCCAAAAAAAATGAATACACCCCAATAAAAGTTTTAGGAGCAAAACTAAATTTTAGACCACAAAATCCTAAATTAACAAGATTTCAACTACAGGTGAATCTAATTATTCATTAAACAGGTGTCCAGTAAAAAATTGATTATAAATGGGCTTTACTTAACAAAGAAAACCCTTTCCCATTTCATGCTGTCAGCAATGGCACCACATGGAAGAGAAATGTCACAAGGCCTGAGACAGAAAATAATTTCTTTACACAAGAAAGGTGAAGGCTACAAGAAGATCAGCAAAGCTTTATTTATCAGTCAGAATACTGTAGCAAAAGTGATACAAAAATTTAACAATGGAACTGCAACCATCTCACAGAGACGTCCAGGCCATCCACAGAAGTTAATACCTCGACAGGAGCATCTTCTGATGAGAAGGGGTGAAGAAAATCGCCATTCACGTTCACTGCAGTTAGCTAAAGAAGTAGAAAGCCAAACTGGGGCGATTGTTTCCCGTGACACAATACGGCGTACACTGCAAAGTGCAAAGGAATGGCATGCATGGGTGTCGTCCATGTAGACAGCCTCTCCTAAAGCCCACACACAAAAATTCTGCCTAGAATTTGCCAAGGCCCATGCTGAAAAGAGAAGACTTCTGGGACTCTGTACTCTGGAGTGATGAGACCAAGATGCATTTTTTTTAGAACTGATGGCTTCAAAACTGTATGGCGTAGCAAAGGTGAGTACAAAAGAAAAATGCATGGTGCCTACAGTGAAACACGATGGTGGCAGTGTCCTTCTGTGGTGCTGAGTGAGTGCTGGTGTCAGGGAGCTGCATTTCATTGCTGGTATCATGAATTCACAGATGTACTGCTCTATATTGAAAGAGAAGATGCTGCCATCACTTCGTGCCCTTGGTCATCGTGCACTTTTCCAACACAACAATGATCCAAAACACACACATAAGGCCAGTGTTGCGTTTCTGAAGAAGAAGAGGATGAAAGTGATTCAGTGGCCAAGTATTTCTCCTGATCTGAGAGACAGGTTGAGCATCACTCTCCATCCAACATCCAGGCTCTAAAAGAGGTCGTTCTTGAAGAATGGAAAAAGATAGCAGTTGTCGCCAACTTGTTTATTCCATGCCTAGAAGACTTGTTGCCATCCCTACAAATCATGGAGGTCATACAATACTAAATGTAGTAGTTTTTGTTGTGGGGTGTATTCATTTTGTATCAACTAATTCGAGTAAATCTGAATAAGATATATTAACCTTACGTTAATGTAATGAGCTAAACAAATGTTCTATAAACAAATGTCAAAATTTTGGAAATTGTTCTTGTGTTCATTGAAATATTGATTAAAATCTTACTTTTCAAAAAGGGGTGTACTCATTTATGCTGAGCACTGTATGACGCAAATGCCTATGTATGCAAGCCTTTAGACGCAAATCTCCTTATGGTGATCATTAAAGGATAAGGTCACTTTTGGAACATGTTACATGTTCCACCTGAATTTAGGGTGGAACATGTAACATGTTCCAGCTCCTGCCCGCTCTCCACCTGATCACCCCCCTTCCCTGTGACAGCAAGCAGGGGATTCTCTTCCCATCCCTGCGTCATTCATTCACAGAGTTCTTTTAATTAATGAATTAAAAGTATTTTACACAGAATATAACTGGATACTAACATTTATAGGTAAAGTTGATCCAGGGAATATCCGATTGCCTCTCGAGGATCAAGAAAGAATTATATTCCCTGCAGGGGCACATTGGATCATGCTTTGCTGGGTATTTTTTTGCCTTCCTCTGGATCAACTGTGGGTATAGGATTAGAACTTTTTTTTTTTTAATGGTTGAACTGGATGGACTTTTGTCTTTTTTCAGCCAGACTAACTATGTACCTATGTAACTATGTAAAAGTACCATTGGCTGCCATCGCTGACAGCTTGTGGTTCTCAATGAACTACGAGGGTGCTGGTGAGCAGGCTAGTAGTTCATTGAGTCTTCCTGCAATTCAATAACTGTTTGCCCATACGATGTACAGGCAGGCAACTGTACTGAGAATCTGCAGAATCCTGTCATTGCAATGCATTACACGTTGCATAGTAAAAAAAAAAAAAAAAAAAAAAAAAAATGCACATGTGCATTTATGATTTTTTTTTGTAAAAGGTGAACTTATCCATTAAAAGTAATAAATATAGAATCTTATGTAGCAACACAGTGCTACTCTATTTCTGTAATAGCAAAGACTTATGCATGAAAGTGTCAGAAACATATTTCTGATGCAAGTTAGCACTAGAAGGAACACTGACTACTCAGTACAGTAGTTAGACAATTATTTTAGTAATTTTTACAGACGTCATTGAAGTTTTATCCACAGATGAGACATTTTACCTATGGATACAGCCATCAAAGCAAGTCAGGTTCTGATTATCAATAAAGGAGGGGGAAGGAATGAAGAGGTGGTGCTGAGCTTTAATTATTCCTTACTAATTTATTTTTGTATAAATGCCATTTAGAGCTGTACTTCACATTACTGAATCAACAGCTTCCCAAAATCCTCAAAACCTTGCAAATTTTATTTTCAGAAACA